ATACAATATTGAATCACCGTAAATTTTTGCGTAGTGGTATTTAATATATAGTTTGATAAGCATGCAAAGTTTCAGAAGATTTCAAAAAGAACTTGGATCACAACGGGACTCCAAAGTTGATAAAAATCGTGAAAATCAAAATTTTTAGTGATTTTAGCTATTTTAAATCAATTTGGGCGTGTCCCCACGTGTGCAACTTTTCGATTTTTAACTTTAAAACTAGCCTATAACACAATTTACACCTTTAAGAAGCAAAATTGAGCTCCACAACCCAAGGGATAGCCCAACACCAGAGAATACTAATTCACAACTTTTGTGTTTTTATAAAATTATTCTTCAAAAAAGCACTAACTTCAATAGCAAATATCTTTATGAAGGAGTAAGGTAGGAAACTTTTCCGGTAGATTTTTAGAATGCTTGAACAATTATCTAAGGTGAAAATGTCCTCAGATTTTGAATAAAATTACTCTTTAATGGTGTAAAATCGATTTGAAAAGTTGTTGTTTTGTCAAAAATCAAGTTTAAAAAACACTTAAATTGATGACGTCATCAAGTGATGATGATGATGATAAATTATTTTTCAATATAAAGTAAACTAAAGTATAAACGATTATCTTTAAAACCTGTGGTTCGAAATGACTTTATCTTTTATACTTTTGAATCTACGGACACTTAAATGTAGGCTACAATTGACTGCAAAAAGCGTCTATATATCATATATATCTTCACGACAATCTGTTGTAAAACAGGGGTTCCAGAAAACCCACTTCCCGATACTCCTGAAACATGAAATTTTTTTACTGTCGACTTGGACAAGGTCTAGACGCCCTGCAAAGTTTCAGATCTCTAACTCAATTTTAACATGGTTTTTAAGGCACCTGAATATGGCGATTTTGGGTTTTTTACCTAATTTCGTATAACATGCTGGCGCGTATTTTGCGCAAATTTCTTAAAAACCTCCATATAACTATTTCTTATTCCTGTCATCTTTAACATTGAATCAGAATGTTTTGAACTTAAATGTACCTGCTGAATTACTTTCGAAAAAGTCTTAATGCCTGGAAAACAATAAAGGGGATATAATAGTATAGGGGGTAAATAGTATTGTGAATATAAGGGCGACGGTAATGCTTGCCAGCATTGTGATAGATTTAGGTTACTAAGTTATGAATGGATATGACGACGTTTTTTATCAGTAACGAATCACGATCTAGACTGACAAATCTCCACGAGGTAGAACAGTGATGAATAGAGACAGATTTTTATTCAAATAATCTTCTAGACCAAAGAAGCATTGTTGGCAATCTAGACTTTTGCCGGCCAAAAACTGTAGCTGACACAAAGTTCATGGCGCACCACAAATGATCTGTCGATTATCATTCATCATTTCTTATATTATTGAAACAAAAATCGCTGCTCGGACAAAAGTGGATCAATTAATTTATTGCCACGACACTAAGTGAAAAAGTTGATCTATTGTGCTAAGTTGGTGCACCCCGCATTGTTCAACTCTCTGAACAACATGTGAAGAGGACAACATCTGTCCAAGTCATTATACTTTCGTAAAGCTTAGCTAAAGACGAGCACTCTATAATCTGTATATATACCGAACTAAATCGTTCTTTTATAAAATTTGTCCTTTTATGCCATTAAGAACTTCAGAGAGCCTTCTGTTGTGTAACTCTGAAATAATTGTACGTTTAGAAGTTGATTGTCTGAGTCTTCACAGGAAAAGGTTGTGATTTCGTTCCACAGTTTGCTTGTTGAGTTTTAAACAATATGTCCTGGACCGATTTAAGAAATCAGTACAACGGAGGGACAACGCTTCCACCGGAACTACCGGATCATCAAATACGACGACGATGTACAAGAGTGCAAGGTAACATTTCGAGATAGACATTTTCTAGGGGCTATTCACTATACAGTATACAGCTCAGATTTCGAACACGTAATGACTAATGAGAGCTTTGTGGTCATTTAACCAATACTAATTGACCCTAACTAATGATTTCGTTATAATCAGGCGTCCATTTTTGCGATATTCATTTTCGTACCACATCACCAATGAGCTCTTCAAGAATCAACATTGTCAATCGTTCGACGAACAGGCAACAGCTTTCGGAATGCAACAACATCAAAATATATCAACAATATTGACATGCGTTATCGACGAGTCATTGGTTTGATTTCTTCACGATAGTTATCTGATAGCATGCGGCTTGTAAAAGTCTGCAGTCGAGCCAGCACTGAAATCACGAGTAGATACTAACAACACCGTTAGTTTCTGCTCTCAAAATAGTTGTCCGCTAATTCTGTGCGTGATCACTGATGATGATCATGTTCATTAGTCCTGATATCATTCTCTTGTGTGCTTCACTAATGAGTTTTATATCCAATATTACATTCGGTACAGATATATGTGCTTCCTATGAGTTGAGGGTTGAGCTGAAATTTCTCTCGGCATTGTGCTTGTTTAACTTGTCTCCTAACATTCTCTTTTTCAAATTCCTGCAAAGTTTAAAGATTGTCTTCTGTTTTTCGTTTGTTGAAAATCAGCCTCTATAATTTTATTTCAACAGCTCGGCAATCGGAACTTATATTCACACACCCTTTCATCGTTAATAATCAGTATAGTCTGAAGAATATTAATATTGGACCAAACATTTTAAAAGTTACAGGTAATTGTAGTATAGGGCATAATTAGCTGATAAAAATTTGAAATGGATGAGCATGAAGAAGGGGAGTTAAATGGGATCACTCTTCGGGTTCCCGGCGAAACTTACAAAAACACTTCTCCTAAACCGTACAGAGAATAAAGAACAGAAGGTAGGAATAAAAATGCAATCTTGGTCTCCAAATTGAATTAACTGCAGAGCTCATACACTCACACGCGTGAGACTTGAATAAGAGTGTCACCCTGTGCTAAAGAAATGTGGGGATTAAATGTTTGTTACACAGCCGTTATAACAACGTTGGTTTGAAATTTTGCGTAATTAATTTTACTACAGTCGTTCTGTTACTGATCAGTATCTACATTTAATTAAGGTTCCTGCTCCTCATTAAATTATCCGTTATCGTTTTCCTCAAGTCTTTTTGTGGTGATCGTTTGATTACGGGGGAAACTTAAATGAAGCCAAGGCCCAAAGGAAAACATAATGGTACCCTGCAAGCGGCGAAAGTTTTTGCCAACCGTTCGAGAGAGGTTTCAATTTTTGGGCTTTCAGGTTAGTAATTATATATATATAATATAATAAGGGCAGCTCACTGCAAAATATCGTAAATATTGGTCTGAAATAACGATTTACTTTCAATTAAACTTAAAATTGTACTTTAAACTTTTGTGACACTTAGTTAGGGTTTGCGGCTTGAATTGGATTTCATTTGTGCGCGATCGAATGTTTAAATAGTGCCCCAATTCAATAATGCAACTAGGAAACTTTCTATAATAGATCTTTGTTTATGATGATTGCTAGGTGACCATAATGTATAATGCCCGTGGTTATTTGTCAGCTGGTCACATTCAAGAGGTTTCATTGCAACCACGTCATTGTTGTTTGTCATTTGAGCCTTTTGGCCTGAGTCCATAACGCCATTACAGTGATTACATTTACCCTAATTGAAATGTGCGAGATAAGCTTTATTATCAGTGTTACTGGAGGCACACTATATTTCATTATTTGTGCAAACGTCGTTTTGATTTAAAATATTATTTAATTGAAATAGCAGTGAATTGCAAATTACAGCTATTTTTAATTCATTTGGAAGTTTTAAGTAAAAGTATAAGTTGATCTGATCTTGGCGGGGAGCCCAATGTGAATGAAGTCCTGGGGTAAATACAACAGTTCGGTACTGTCATCAGTTCACGGTTTCAAATCCGGTTACTCTGCGAAAGTTGCAGGTCTCTCAGGTAAATTGAATCCATGAAATTCCCCCTTTTTTTACTTGTTCGCTCCTCTGTAAATTACCCGTAATTCTTAACGCCAGGATTTTCTGTATGTGCCCCCCACAACTAATTATGTTTGATTCATTTACATCTCAAATACTCAGTACAATGTAACTTACCGGTTATTAGAAAAGTTAAGGAGATGAAAGATCTCTCCTGTAAGCTCCCAGCGGGTAACTTGAGCCATCCAATGAAGACAGACTAATTAGAGTACATGTACAATAATGTACATGTACTTATACCAGCATGTATAATGTATATACTATATGTCCATGTTATAATACCCGCAGGGACGTTACAACAGATACTTCGAGGGTATTATCGTATTATAATTTGTATAAATGTTCTGTGTGTACTGTGTGATCTGGTGTATACTGTATAAGGTGCTCGCTCTTTCTTTCTTTTGAAGGTGTTGCGAAATCCTGTGAGATGAGCTTATAGAGCAGCGTATCAATTATCAGCTTAACCTGTTTATTGTTGACCAGTTTAGTTTAGTGATAGTAAACCGTTGCTTGATTGTAAGTTTAGAAGTGCTAAAGCGTACATTCGCTTTCCGTAATGTACGTCCGTTCTGATAGTAACTTGAGCAGTGGGAGCACGGACAGCTCAACTTCATGCTTGCTGGAATCAGGAGCTGCAGCAGCCTATCGTAGATATCTGAAACATGAAGGTAATGTCTAAATGTCTACGAGGCTATTTCAACTCGCGTATAACGGTTAATATTAACACACAAAAACCTCGATCACAATCCCTACCCTAACTGTTACCAATAGTTTAACATAATTTGTATTATGTAAACAGGAGAAAGGTTCAACAGCAGTTTTACAATATTAATAGAACCGACAAGAAAATATTAAATGGGTAATCGTGTTGCTGGTCATTAGAAACGTCAAGGAGATGCTATATCTAGCTCCTGTCAGCTGCCAGGAGGTAACTTGAGCCATCCAATTAAGGCAGACTCATTAGTGTACATGCCAACATGTATACACAATACACACACGAAGCACGTTATATCAATGTTCTGGTATATATAACGTCCTTGCGCATTCCTCTCTTTGTTTTAATTCTCCGTGAGGTTACCTCATATCAGAGTACAGTATAATATCATTTATCAGCTTAAGCTTTTTCGTTGTTGTTGTTGTGCAGTCAGCAGTACCGTTTGTGATAGCTTGATAGTAAGCTGGTGCTTGATTACAGTGCTAAGCGTACATTCTTCTGCAAATCTGCATTAATACGGACCGTGAGAAGAATTTGAGTTATGTATGTACGATCTGATAGTAACTTGAGTAACGATAGTTCATCCTTGCGGGAATCAGAAACAGCCTCTGCGTATCGTAGATTTCTAAATCGTGAAGGTACATAAAATCGATGGGGCTCTGCCTATTTTGCCACATTTCATCTCACGTACGACAGTACCTTAACCGGTACCACTAGTTTAACGTTTGTAAACAGGATTAGGGTTCAATAATAGTTGTGCTGCGTGCAATATTATTAGAACAAACAAAAAAATCAAATTGGTAGTTGCTGGAAAGTTGCTGGAAATATGTCTGAAGAATTATTATTGGTTACATTTTCTGAGATGTGGTTCCTCAGTTGATAAAAATGGTCCACTCATATTGAGTATACTGAACTGAACTCTGAACTTTACTTCTTTTTACAATTATACTGTCTAAAAACTCTGAATGTTATCAACAACTAATGAACTGAACTTATTTCAGCGATCGGGAGGCAGTTTACACTAGATGATATACATCAGATCAAGGACAATGCTGGGGGTATCGACTTTCAGCAGGTATGATAAACTAGCAGAGAAATATTTTTTTCATAGTAGTATAGTGAGCTTACTGCAAGTGAATTTGTTTGACTTTCCCTTTCATTTTACATTTTCTTACTTTCTTACTTAAGGCCTAGCCAAATCTTTGAACGAATTCTCTCTAAGCTTTACGACAAAACTTATTCTAATATGCAAGCCAAGAGATTGTACTTCTAGCAATAAATCAATCATAAATTCCAGGCAGCTCGTGAGGGTAACCTCAAGGTTATAAAACGTTACATATCAAGTGTTCACTTCCGGAGAAAGATAGACAAAGTCTCCAAAGGAGGGAAGAATCCCATAGATACCCCTGATGGAGAGGGGTTCACTGCATTGCACTATGCAGCAAGGTACAACAACGTTGATGTTATGGAGCTGCTTATTGAGCATGGAGCAGGTGAGATCTTTACTTTTAGGAGCTCTTTTCCTGATCGGCAAACTTGTCCTAGAATCGTGAGTTTTGGCCTCTTTGAGTACCGGCGTCTACGTACTAATCTATTATATTATGTATGCTTGGTATCTTCAGATTGATCTCACTTCTAGAGATATTATAAAATGTCCTTCCAGATGTTAATGTAAAGGACGAGGATGGACAGACACCTTTACATCACGCAACTAGATACGCCCCAAAGGGTACAGCACTGAACCCAGCTCAAATGGCTTACGTTCCTATGAGACCTGATGTTAACCGTAAAGATGAAACGAGGGAAGAGGAAGATGATGATGACGAGCCGAGTAAGGATGATGACGTAGAAGAGGCAGAGGAAATAGCAAATGGGGATGAAGAAATTTTGCAGGTCTAAAGATATCATTGAGAGTTGAATATTCATGATTCATAGTTATAGTTTATTCCACCCCATTAGATCCGGTGGGTCTTATGCATCTTAATTTGAATTGAGAGTACTTAATCTGAATCTCAGCTGAACCCTCTGATTCACAATTAACGTTCATTCACAGTTAGAAGCTAGAACAATTGAACTTCAGGACATAGAGGCGGTCCAACAGGAAGTCATCAAAAAGATAACGTCGGAGGATGCCGCAGTTTCTGCTATAAAGAAGTTTCTCCACAGGAAGGACACTCAGCGGATTAAGACAGGTTATTATAATTAGTTATAATTAAGACAGGTTAGTTATAATTGTTTAAATTCAAGGTAAAAGCTTCAAAGGATGAAGAAAAATTCTAAAGGTTCCTAACAAGTTCCAACCTAATATGTAAACCTACGTGGTATCCTCCTATTATATATGTAGCCCTTATCTAAAATAATAACAAATTCAGTGGAAGAAGAGATCGCAGAGGAAGAAGGAAGTCCACCTATTAGGTCCCTGGCAGAGAACGGAGCTGATGTTAATGCTCAAGATGACTACGGACTGACTGCTCTTCACTGTGCTGCTGATAGGGGTAACTACCCCGCAGTTCTGGAGCTGCTCAAGATAAACAATGTTCAAGTCAATCTTAGAGGTATGTACTTATGTACAATGTTCAAGTCAATTTGAGAGGTATGTATTTTCTGAACTGATATTATCCGAGAACTGAATTATACAGATCCTTCTTAGGTCTTATTTTTGATGTTTTGATAGCAGAACGGGAATTGACCTGTGTCCTCGTCTCGTAAGATAAACACTTGTTAAACATAGCTACATCTCAGACAAACAAGGTGAGACAGCCCTACACATGGCAATTCTATACGAAGACATACCCTGTATCAAGAAACTGATGTTCAACAAAGAGCACCCTTGCAATCCCCGGGTCTACTCCTTGGAGAACATGTCCCCTCTTCACCTGGCTTGTAGAGAAGCCGACCTGGAGATCGTAGAGCTGGTGTACAGTCGTATCAAATCTTTGGAGCTAAAAGAGAGTATAGACAGCATCATGAGTGAGATAATGACGAGAGCAGGCAGTTCAATTCACTCTGTATGTTGATCGGTGTAAAGACTGTGTCCACATACCCTAAACATGTGTCATCTTTGATGAAGCAACTTCATAAGAAGGCCAAGGAAATGGATCCATTAAACTACAGGTTTGTCAAGACGATAATTGACAAGAAAGTTCAAGAAAGCAATGGGAGAGACTGACCTAAAGATGAAGGGACATCTTGACAAAGCAGGAGAGGAGAAGTTCACATGTCTTCATCTAGCTTGTAAAGACGGAAGGGTTGACGTGGTAGAGTTCATTCTGAACAACAGAGCTGATCAGAATCTCAGGACGATGGAGCGGGAGACAGCTTTGCATATATCCGCACACAAGGGTCACACAGAGGTGGTCAAGATGCTGGTGGATGCTGGGTGTCCGTTGGAGGCTAAGAACATAGCTGGAGAAACTGCTATGCACGAGGCGGCTAAAGCTGATCAGACTGAAGTTATTCAATATCTGTCTGACAAGTAAGTGATGTTTGGAGCGTTATTTGTTACTACAAATCTGAACTAAGTATTGAATGTATTTCAACATGCTATATGTTCTGGAGGTTTGAACTCGGGGAACAATCTTTATTTTAGATATTTTGTCGAACTTCTGCGGGAAACTACACATTCTGAAAGATTAAGATAACCAAATATTCCCTTCAGAGGAGCGAACATAAACGCAGCAGACAGGGACGGTTCGACACCCTTCATCACTGCTGCGGCCTGGGGTCATCCTAACTCAATAACCCTCCTACTGGACCTAGGAGCTGATTCCACTGCTCGGGACAAACGGGAAAACAGTGCAGTGTTTGCTTCGATTAGGGAGAACCAGCCAAGCGTTTTGAAGATCATTCTGGAAGCTGGCGGAGAGAGACTGATAGACAGTGAGCTTGACAAGTGAGTGAGAATGTAAAACATACATTTTCGAAATTAGAGATTTCATTAAAACATGGAATTAATGTTTCATTTTTTGACAGGAATATCTTATTAGAAATCAAGATAACATGTCTTTGAAATTGATATGCTACTGTATACTTTAAATTCATTATTTTTAGACTGTCCTAAAACCAAGTCTAATACAGGTTCCAAAACACCCCTCTACATTTTGCCGCCGAGCTTGGTCACCTCGGATGTCTGAGAGAGCTACTGGAGTTTAAGTTCGAGATAAATGCTCAGAACGAGGATGATAAGTGTCCGCTTCATCTCGCAGCTGAGAAAGGAAAGCTGAAATGTGTGCAGGAACTTGTCAAGGCGGACAAGGCCACGGTAATTTGAGTGATGATGACTATCGTCTGTTAATTAGCGTCGATTCGTATTCTTAAAAAAGAACGCTATTGAAATTGTTGGATTTCTGGAACAGCTGTACAGTGTACCACTTACCAGTACTGCCTATTGCAGCTAAAAATCGTGCTATACTTATTACAGTTTAGGCGCACAATGCCCAAGTAAAAAACTTTTAAAGCTGATATTTCCCAGCTGGAAGACAAGGACGACTACGGGAACCATCCCTTACATTACTCTGCTCTGAACGGCCACGTGGACACGACCATTTACCTCTGTGACATGGGAGCTGAGGTTGGGGCCCGCAACCAACTTGGGTGGACCCCCATGGATTGTGCTGCCTCCAGGGGTAACTCCAAGGTCATGGCTGCTCTGTTGGATGCTGATGCTGAGATTGATCCTATTGACAAGGCAAAGTTGACCCCTCTTCATCTCGCAGCTAAGAACGGTTAGTTTTAGAAGGTGTAGTGAGCTCTACTCTATCATGATTATATTTACGATATGCAATGCAATGACTTAAATAACGAAGTTTATGTTTCACAATTTTGTTACTGAAATCAATCAAAAACTTTTATTTTTCAGGTCATGTTGATGCGGTCCTTTTCCTCCTGAATAACGATGCTAATATCGGTCTGGTAGACGTAAACGATATGAATGCTCTAGAGCTGGCAATATTGGCAAACAATAGAGAAGTAGCTGAATCTATCATCAAGTAAGATAGACAATTTTGTCTCTAATCTTCATAAATATATTTGAGTTTTGTTTGTCTCATTTTATCAATCTTTAATCTGAGGTCAGCCACTCGACTTGTATTAATCATTTTAATGAAGAGATAATCGTTCAACTTTCAGTCACCAAGATGAATGGGGAAGGCCCTCATGGCCAAAAGCGCTGACAAACGCCCAAATGAACGGGGACACTCCAATGAAGAAACTGATAAGGTTCATGCCAGAGGTTGCGGAGTTAGTGCTGAATAAGTGCACCGACATGACCAATAACCCGTCGGAGATGACTACTGACAACGTTAACTACGAGGTACACAAACAGTTAACTGTAAACTGAGAGATGCTTTCTTCAAATTCTGATTCCAGCGTACGTTTATTTCTGATGTGGCCCCTCAGAAACACACTTGTAACTATGTAACCTAAGGTGCAATTCAACTACAAGTACATCACGGACAAAGAAATAGAGATGACAAGATCCGAAGACAATAAAAGTATCACCTCATCGGACCTTAACGATGAGTCAGAAGCGGAGTCTAAAATCGTTAATGCTCAAGATGCGACCTCCTACCATATAAACCCTCTCAATCTCATGGTTTGTGAATCATTCATCATTAAATTAATTATCATTATTTTTTATTGAAATTTTAATATTCACAGGAACTTTTATAAATCTTTCCTTATTACAACAAGGTACAACTTTTGATGGATTTATTTGTCTGTTTGACTAAGTGATGCAGATTCGTTCTAGATAAAACTCTAATTAAGAAGTATTTACAGTGTTACCTTTTCTAGATTATCTGTACCTCACATACCTCACATGAGTCTATCTCTCTCTCAGATAAAAAACAAAAGAAGCGAGCTCCTGAGTCACCCCCTTGTCACTAGTCTAGTGTTCTGTAAGTGGACTGCTTATGGCAGACACTTCTACTATGGCAACCTCTTCCTCTACGCACTCTACCTTGTTTTTCTAACTGTGTACACCTTGACTCAAATACCTCCATACTATCCCAAACTTATAGAGGATGATGGTTCGGGTTCCGACCCAAAATATGATAAGACAGCCAACGTTTATTTCGCGGGAAATTCGGAGATTCCGGAGACGAATAAGAAGTCAGTGTGGGTGTTCATATCGGGACTTATAACCATAGTCAGCAGTGTTATCAGACTTATAATAGAATTTCTACAGCTGGTGTATCAGAGGCACAAATATATCTCTATTCAGAACTTTGTCGAGTTGGCTCTCTTTGCGCTGTCAATCTTTTTTACTGTTAATGTGTTTTATCCTGAGAAGATTATCAGTGAAACAGAATGGCAGATCGGTGTGTTTTGTTTGCTCGTCGCGTGGATGAACTTCATGATGTTCCTAAGAAAGGTGAGATTTAGGGTTTGAAACTTTTGTTGGGGTGGGATCCATATTATGCGAAAATTAATAAAATAATCTCTGACAATTCCATGGTACTTTGGAATCTGGATCCATTATATCCTTAGGCCCTAACTAACAGATCCTTTATCAGTTCCAGGCATAGGAATATACATTGTCATGTTTGTAGAAGTGCTGCAGACTTTCTTGAAGATCATGGTCGTTCTGATCCTCTTTATAGTTGCATTTGGACTTACCTTCAACATGGTTATGGTTCAGGTAACTGATTAATTAATTAATTAATTTGAATATGCTACGGAGGTCTTATCTAACACTGACATTTGATACGGTCTGTGCTCATAGTTCACTGACTCAGCCAACTCTAGGAAGGGAGAAAACTTAATCATGTTGAAATAAAACATCCACCATTCATGGCTCATGCCGAGTTCTGAAGTCATAATGCAAAATATTTCAGTTTCCCTCATACAGCAACCCGGGTTACTCCATTATGCGAACGTTTGTGATGATGACCGGAGAGATGGAATACGACAACTATATGGCACCTCAGAGCCTAAACGAAGAGAATCCTCTCTACTATCCTGAATCTACGATAATAATGTTTGTGCTGTTCGTGATTGTGGTCCCCATTGTCTTCATGAACTTACTGGTGAGTTTAAACCTGGGGTTGTTCTAGATAAGTCACGATGTAAACGTTAATACGTGCTTGTTGGAGTGGATAGTGTTACTGAGACCATTTCAATTTCTAATTTATTCGTGATCAATAACTAACATTTCAACAAGTAATAAAATTCACGTGGATATGGTGAATAAGTTGTATCATTAAGGTTGGTTTAGCTGTTGACGATATAAAAGCAGTCTACGACCAAGCTGAGTTACAAAGAGCTATCATGAAAATACAGCTTATTTTCCAGGTATGGTAATTAATTAATCAATTTATTAATTTCCAGGTACGGTAATCGATTAATTATGAAAGAAATTCCGATTTTTGTTCCAAATAAGTTTAGCTCCATTCACCTAAATCATAAATTGCACAGCAATGTCGGTTTTGTGTTAACAAATTAGCTCAGTTCTGTTCCCCCTAGGTGGAGGCCCTGCTACCTGCGTCCTATCTAGAGAAGACAAACCAAAGTAAAGTTACATTCTATCCCAACTCAAGGGCAAGAGTTCTCGGGTCTAAGTTGCTGGCTAAATATTTCGGACCTCATAGATTACCGTTTAATGGTCCGGAGCTTTGTGTAAGAGTACAAGCTGGATCAGGGGTGGATTCTATAAGAGCAGGAGATCAGATTAGGATGAAGAAGATGAAAGTTCAACTAAATGAGGTTTGTTAATAATATGATTAATAATGTTTTGTTAATAAAATAACATTTATTAAGCGACCCGTGAACCAATCCTTAAACGCGATTGTAATGAAGTTAAGGGTATTTGCTGCATTGAAAAAAAATGTCACTTGTCCCATAACCGTAAATTCTCCCAGATTTCTAAACAGAACAAACAGATGCTAATGTTGATGAAAAGACTGCTCCTGAGGACACGGTCTGACGACACTGATTCTGTTATTTCCTCGGAACTTAACCATATTTTATTAGACGATGTTGATCTAGAGACACATGAGGACAACTAAATATGTCAGACTGTGGGTCTGTCCTCTTCTGGACTTGTCACGTGGAAGATCACTTGTGCGTGTCACGTGTTTAGATCAACAGTGCATCGCCAGATACTATGCAGTAAAATATTACTATTTTAATGTGTGGGAACTGATTAAATGATTGATGGTGACAATATTTTTAACGTACAGTTTTAGAGTGGAGTTTATTATTATAGTTGTTTGAATTTTATAGTTTTGCATTTACTTTTTAAAATACATTTTTAATTATTTTAGTATAGTTGTATATAACAAATGTTTGTAGCCTATAAACCAAGGTGAGTAAAATGAAGAATTTGTATATTTTCTTGCGAGCTATTCATTCCACCGGGCCACCCATAAAGATGAATTGCATTCGCAGATGTCGCGAACAGTACTTCGTGTGTTACAGGCCACTCGAAGCTAATTATACGATTCACAGAATTTTTCTTCTTATAGAATGGATATCTTAATGAAGTTAAAACAGTTATAAACGATATCAGTTGGTTGAGATAAAAATCGGTAAAAACTTCTACACAAGAGTACAGAAATGATTATATAAACTGTTTATCAATTAATGATGATAACACTGAACGAGTCCCTTACTTAAAAATGAAAATTACGACAACAATTTTGTACAAAAATAAAACATAAAACTGGTTGAAAGAAAGTAAAAATAATTTACAGCCTACAGAGGGCGGAGCACATCCACATATAATTATAAACACACTAAAATAATTAATTTACATTAAACTATCACGAGGCACAATCAAGTACCAGTTCCATATGGTCCTGTGTAAATAAAATATTGATTGCGTAGAAAGGTTAAATATCTGAGTTTAGTCGTTGAGCCGTTTAAATAACGATGGTTTTGATTACTTTTACTATGTAACAGGACAGTTTATCTTCACTAAATTTTAATATGCCTCTGTATCCTTCAGATGGATTCTGGTCAAGTCTGGATAAGTTTAGTAGCCCTCTATAGAGTAACCCTCCATATCCTTTTGATGGAGTCGGGACAAGAAAGGGGAGGGGCTGCTCAACAGTGACTGGTAAATGGAGTGGTCATTACTCAGGATATAATCTATACGCTCAACCGGCACGCTTGCCTCTGCTAAGCAAACCGTACTGGAACCCTGAAATATGCACATTTTTATTATACTTAATTATAGATAATTATGCTTAATTATAATTAATTATAGATATCAATTGAGCGGAAAATATTTGTATAATCATGGATCAGCATGCTAGATACATATTTGGAAACTGTTTTGGCGTTTCGCAACTTTAAACTTAACAAACAGTCCACTTAAACGAATGGCCATTGTAACATCACGTGAGCACTTGTCACACCACATACATCAGACTGTTACATTTTTAACCAGAAACCATTTCATAACAAGTTGAACTTTATCACTTTGTAAACTTCTTGCCGTGTTTCACAGATAAATTAAATGTTTAAAAAAATTCTACTCCTCAAATCAAAAACTCTCCAATTCATCTCCACACCCACGGTGCTTTTAACCCGACTGACACACAACTCACACAACTCACACTGATCACACTAATCACACTAATCACACTTTCGGTCGCATCTCTTACTAGCTGTGTAGTCTACTCCCGAACCCTGGGGGGCATAGACGATAGATTTATCGGAGGTTGACAATTTATTTGATGCACAAATATGTACCTAAATAGTTAATTCCCCCATAATTGCGTAACATTTAAATAAGCAAAATTCCTCCTGGCTCTTGAAGTTTTAGCCTTTGTTTAATTTTATGAGTTTCATGCCAACATAGAAAGCAACAAATAAGATTGATATTTAAAAAGCTTGAGCAGTATCCCAACCCAGCTAATCCTTACTTTGGATTATAAAGCCAACTCAACGAGTAACCAATCTAAATGCCCATTAATATCTTAAACTTAAGCATGCATAGACCGTATGATTTAGGAAGATTTAAAGCCATTTCAGCTTTCAAGTTGGAGTGAGAAAGCTCCGGGTCATGCGGGGACACAATACCCAATACATGCAACACATGCTAAACTATAACGTACACTCTTGAACATATCGCCTATTAGCAATGCTTTCCATGGATTGTAGCAGAGGGTCCAAATCTTCGCTTTTACTGAAGCTTTTACTATATCCTGTTGCAGGACTATAGCTTAACGAGCCCTAGCGAGGTTAATACCAGTTGGGTCATTATTCGTCTCGGTACAAATGGAGAGCATTTTGATAAAGAGGAAAAGCAGTTTTAGGATTACGATTATAGTCACAATATATAATTTTTTCTTTTCTGTTTCGAAAAAGAGAGCACCTAAAATATATAATCAACACAGACACTCACATAATTTGGTCTGTAAGGAGGTGGGTAGGAGGTGTCTGTTATGAGATGATCATTCTCATCTGCATCTGGAGTCATCGTTATGTTCTTGTCAAGTATACACTCGACCTTCAACCACTCCTAAAGCGTTGCTATCGTTATGTTTTTGTCAAGAATGCTGAGAATGCAGTCAACTATGATATTGGCATGGCTATTCGTTATTACATACGAAATATGAATACCTAAAAGTAAAAGAACGAACCTCGACTCTATCAGCGTAGGGTTTGAGCTGGTTGATAACGATCCACACTAGAAATACACTTATACATGTTACCAAGCAATACATAGACATGTTCCACCTGGGTTTAAATGGAGAGTCAGGTTCAGGTAGACGCATCATTTGAACATTGAACGGGAGTATCGTATGTTATTCTAGTGAAAACTTGCAGTGAAACAGTGATGTAATGTGGTGAAATACAGCGGTTTTAAACGAGCCAACATTGATGCAAATGTAAAACAAAATACACAAAGAGCAGCACTCAGCACTCAGCAGTCATTATTTACCGCAGTTATTTGAAATAAAATCAGTTATCTACAGCGATTATCTTCTAATCAAAACGTGATGGAACATCATTGATCATTTCGGCAAATTTCTCTGCATTGATTTGTTGTAGTGAAATTAGTTAAATTAAAAGTGTAAAGAATATGATAATAGCTCATGCCTCATATCAATTTTTATTGAATTAAACTCAAAAAATATTATGCGACATGCTGCTAGAGTCTACTTTAAGTTTTATATTCATTTCCTCGACAGAATCATTCCATAAACAAGCAGTCAGACCAATGCATAAATATCACAGCCTCTACCGGCTGTAGGACTATTGAGCGGAGGACTGTTGAGCGTAGGACTGTAGGTCGGTGAAGGTCGGAAGTAGGACTGTAGAGCGGTGTCAAATCGCCAGGGTAGGACTCTAGAGCGGCCGCCCTTATAGATCTCACAACATGAGGACTTTAGAGCGGTACGATCCTAAAATGAGGACTGTAGAGCGGTGGACTGTTGAGCGGTGGACTGTAGGCCGGTGAAGGTCGGAAGTAGGACTGTAGAGCGGCCCTCCCTTATAGATCCCATAACATGAGGACTCTAGAGCGGTACCCTCCTATAACATGAGGACTCTATAGCGGTTGAAAATTTGAAGATTGAACACTCAACGAAGCTAAGTTATACATTGTAACTCGTGATTGATTATGGTCATGACATTCTAGGATGATAACTTTATTAAAGAGTCATGGACTATGGAGTTAATGAACATTTTCATTTACTTATTATATATATTTCATTACTAATATTATAGTGTAACTTAATTTAAGATTATTGGTCGGTCTCAACGTCTTCCAAATGATTGATTGAAATATTCACCTGCTACTCAAAAATGTAAAACGTGTCTTCGTTATTTTAGTGAACTGTTCGTATCAATGTGATTTCGCTAAGCAGAGTACCGATCAAGTTCGTGCAGATCATTTAGGAATGAGGATCGCATCGCGTGACGCTTTAGCGCCTACTAAGAATATCTCATGTTCATCAATCTGGTGACGGGACTGATTCAGATCAGATCCCATCGCAGTGCGATATCTTGTTAGGATTTCGAAGGTATGGTATAAATATCACGGAGTATCCAGTTTTCGTATATCAAATTCGATTCCTACTCCTCTTCTACAACTACCTACAATATGCAGAGTGTTAACAGTCTTTCTCCTCCTGAGAAGCCCATCTTCATCGAATCCCTCAACGGAGAATCAAGGCTCGTGTACGACTAGCCCACCTAGTTGAAGTAAACGATGATCAGGACCTCGTCTCACACCTGGACATGCTGCGAAATGTGATGGCTGAGGAGTGAAATGTTATTTTGATATTTGTTAACTATAGTATTGATTTTTCGTAATTGTTTGTAATATAAATAAGTTTTATCGATTTTATCATCCTTATATCACGTGTGTTATTGATTACGAGTTTAAAAACCATAATTTTATTCAATGTTCAAATTTTTTGGAAGACGTTGAGACCGACCAATAATCTTAAATAAAGATACACTATAATATTAGTAATGAGATATTCATAATGAAAATGTTCATTAACTCCATGACTCTTTAATAAAGTTATCATCCTAGAATGTCATGACCATAATCAATCACGAGTTACAATGCTTCGTTGAGTGTTCAATCTTCAAATTTTCAATCTTCAAATTTTCAATCTTCAAATTTTCAACCGCTATAGAGTCCTCATGTTATATCATAAGGGAGGGCCGCTCTACAGTCCTACTTCCGACCTTCACCGGCCTACAGTCCACCGCTCAACAGTCTACCGCTCTACAGTCCTCATTATAGGATCGTACCGCTCTAAAGTCCTCATGTTGTGAGATCTATAAGGGCGGCCGCTCTAGAGTCCTACCCTGGCGATTTGACACCGCTCTACAGTCCTACTTCCGACCTTCACCTACCTACAGTCCTACGCTCAACAGTCCACCGCTCAATAGTTCTGCTCCCCCTCTACCGATTCTCAAACAATGAATGATATCTCAAAGACAGTGATAGATAATGTGTGCCTGGGTAACTTATGAAATAATAATGAGAAACTTGAGCTACATAATGCTCGTGGACATTGGTGGGTGGGTTGAGAAGTTATCATTAGCATAAGAGAAGTTGATTTTTATGAACGAGAACATGGATAAAATAATTCTTGTTGGATGACATTAACACACATAAACAGCATAACTGATTGGATTTTCAACATTTTTCAAACAGAATTTATCAAACTGACAGTAATTTCAAGATTCTGATGAAATTTCGACACGTCATTCAGCATGACACTGTACTTACAGGAACGGCTTGCAAAGTATGTCAGTTATTCCTTTGTAATCCTGAACAAAACTTTTCAAAATCTGTATCAGCATGAAAAAGGGGGTGTTATTTCTATATTGAAGATGAATTTGACAATCTACATTGCCAAAGCAAAATGGTCGGCAATTGCATTATTGTCAATCATCACTCATCATCAATGATTAACGGGGATTTATATGTATACATATGCATGAAGTAAGCAGTAATGTGCTTAAAAATCAATCTCGTTCTAACGACAAATGAAAGTATATAAAATATGTGATCCAGCACCTCTTCGTTCTGGAAACACACACAATATACAGTAATGATTTCCTAAAATATGTACCTACAAATCAGCAGCGCCATCATAATACAAAGGTATGTGTATTTGTTAGGATATCATCAAAATATGAAGTTTAAAATATTTGCCGATAAAGTTCTTAAAACGCGCTAATGCACAGAATCATCTCATAAATCAAGAGGCTTGCATATAATGAACATATTGACACGGGTGCAGAGTTGAGTCTGTACGGAACCTAGTAGTTTCAGATCCTTGTTTAACTTGCCGTACAGCAAGGTCATCCACTACTTTATCATGACCCTATGTCATCAATAGAACAAATGAAATTATTCATAATTCTTGGATTAACCATGATTACCACTCGGGCGTCTAAAGAACATTAACTATTTGATTGGCTGATAACTTATAAACAAATGTGTACCTTGGTTAGCTGCTGGCATGCCATGATGTGTTGAATATTGTTCATATCGCTCGTTAGATCTATCAACGTGTCTTTTACTTGAGGCGGAACCTGTGAGAGAATTGAAACATTTACATCGTTATCATAGGGATAATTTTGGCCCAATTTACAGTATAAATTATCTTTAGATTTGTAGAAATTGAATGATTTTAAATTGTAAGAAAACCCATTAGGTTATATTACCAACTGAACAGGCCCCGGAATGTGGTCGAGAAAACTGAGGAGACCACTGACGAGATCTAGCGATTTTAGTCCCGTGCTACCATCCTGCAATAAGAAATAAACTTAAAGTCATCCTAACACCGTGATAGCATCGCTGTATTGCATAATCATGCATAATACTGTTAAACCTTTACTATAGGCAGCAGGAGCGTGTACCACATTTTGGTAGAAATCCCCGCTTATAACAGAGATATGTGAGCTTTAGAGGGAATAAAATGGTCTAATCATCCACTGATGGTCAGATGTTTCACATTAACTACATAATAAGCATATTTATCCATGATTTTATGAATATGCTCACCTCCTTGCAGCGTAAGAAAAGTTTCACAACATCCTCAGCCAATTCTTCCACATCAATAATGTATCTCATAAACTCTGTGTGTTCAACACATATATCAGCAGATGCCTGAGATAAGAGTTTATTATCTTTCTTGAAAACTGATAGCAACAATGATCAAAATGCCATCCAGCGTGGTTCAGTCGGCGGTTTGTGTACACACTCCGCGCGGTTAATTGGATTTAGCCACGTTTCGATTTAAGCTTACATTACATAAAGTTGATTCGAAGTTCGCGCGCTACGTATATCTCATACTATTCTTCTGATATTTGCGTTCCTGGTAAAAAATAATGATTTCTTAGAAGTGCATGCGATCACATGAGCCATCATCAAGTAGTCTGAGAGTCTGAGATTTAGAAAACCGCTCATTAGATCTGCGGGATCTCATCAAGGATAGTTAGCAAGCAGGGGAGCCATCGCCTAAAGTAGGAAAATATGGAGTAAACCATTGCACGTTAACTGCTAATCATTTGACACTGCCAGGAGCCTTAACAAATGCAGGTATACTAGTATAAATAACAACCAAACCACTGCCAAATTATCAAACAGCTTCTTTCAATCAGTTACTCAGTATCAACTAACAACAACAACCTTCAATACAAGTTCCTAGCCTCCTTCTTAAATCCCTAAACCACTTCCACTTCCTAACTGCTAATCCCCACTTCCATCCCACTTCCACCCCTGCTAACTTACACCGGAAATGTCAACTACCATGTCCAATGACACCTTCGTTCAATACACTCAGAGACTGGGTTACCCGGAACGTTTGGCGCAGCTAGCTGTATCCAGACTCGGCCACAATGCCGGAACTAATGAACTTCTCACTGCTGTAATGGCGGACGCAAAGAGATACAACATCAGACCTACAGGATCTTACCAGCCTAAATACCTTCTCTCACAGGACTCCTACAGACTCAGAGATGGCAGCTCTAAGAAACCACAGTGGGTTAATTTCAAGAGAGATTGATCTGTGGAAACGAGAATTTTCTACTCAGAAAATTTGATACTGCTCTAGAGAAATGTTGGATCAGATGAGGCCCATTTTCGTGTCTTAATTGAATGAACTTTTTACTGCTTTAATAATTGTTGTTATTTGATATTAAATAGATTTTCACCAAACTCATTAAGAATAACGTGTTGAATTGACTGGTTTGTTTGTGTTTAACGATAAAGTGCGAAGAAATAACAGTAAACAGTAAACACCTACCACAGCCCCAGATAGATAAATGCCGATAGATGCAGACAAGAAAAACATACAGAGGGTTAGCATCACCAATGAGCTGAAAAGATATTAATTAGCATATTATAAGTAAGATTTAAGTAATGACTAGTGAAAACATTAAAAATAGACGTAAAGTTGGTACGGAATGTTTTTATTCAAATTTCTACGATCGTTTTAGCCTCTCATATCACTCATGAGAAAAGGTCACGGTGAGTTAGGATCACATAGGGTACGAGGTTAAAATTCTCACTATTTCGGTGTGGCCTAGAAATTTAATTTAACTCTTTGCATTCGATTAAGGTTAGCTGTCTTAGTATTATCTATAGTCTCATTATGTATAGTCTCATTATATGGGTGTGGCCAGGTCATCAAATACCACTTTTCTGAATTCGATTAAAGTTAGCTGTAGTAGTTTTCGCTGTAGTTTTACTATTTCAGTGTGGCCAAGTCATCAAATACCACTTTTCTGAATTTTATTTCTGTTGGTTTTTAAAGGTTGTATCAACACTGTACCCATAGCTCGCAGGGTAACGTGATTCAAGCGATGCCAATCGAACCATTAATCAAGAAGGTTTGTGACTCACCAATCTTCTTGATTAATGGTTCACCAAGTTGGTGAGCTCATCTCGACTGGCAAGTGCCAACTAATCAGTACGTCTTTTTAATATATATATAATAACATCTATAAACAAAAGAGCACCTAAAGAGGCTCAGCAAAGTGCTGGCCTATTTACGCTTACGAAGACTCATTCGTTCAATATGTCTCAAAGTAAATAAACTCCTCCATCCTACTCTATCTCTTGCTAAGTTCACTAAGTTGGTAAAATCATCTTCATTTTTCAAATAAATTTGTCTCTTAAATAGGTCCTTTTTCACAATAATATCATACAAATTAGTCCTATGTCTACCCACTCGTCCCTTTAGTGTTTGACATCCTAGTGTAGCAAATAACAGAGACTGGTAGGCAGGCGTGTCTTTTTAATAGTGGTAATATTATTATTATCAAATTGTTGCATCTGATTTTTGGTCAGCTGATTCTCATGTTGCCATGTGTTTTAGTAGAGTGATGGTTCGGCTTTAAAGATCAATCCTCTTTAAAATGGTTTCAGGATCAATCACTAACTCCAATGTTCATCTATTTTACATGCACTTACACAGCTTGTTTAAATTATATTAACGAGAACATTGACAATGTTGCTTTGCTCAATCAATAAGTTGCCGGAAAACTAGTTTAACAAGTTTAGAACTGCCTTAATCTAATAACATAACCCATCACATACGTATTATAGTGGTGTGCCCATCCTACGGACAATTAGTCATCCTACGGACAATTAGTCTTCCTACGGACAATTAGTCATCCTACGGACAATTAGTCATCCTACGGACAATTAGTCATCCTACGGACAATTAGTCTTGCTTTGAAAATATTAAAGTCCCTTTTGAGACAGTGAAATAATTCAAACCACCCAGCTGGGGCTTGAACACTCGCGGATATAGGAAGCAGATATAGACATATAGACATAAATAAATACAGCGACTTCACGGTGCATTAAAAGGAGTGAGATGTCATAACATTCTATATATAACATTCAAGTGCTGATTTTATTCTCATAACCACTCAACAAGCAATAGCAGTACCTCACAAACATTTTCCCCTTCTAATTGAAGTAAGTTATTTAGTGTGAACTGGACTCTAATGTTATGGTTGGCACCAGAACGTCAAGCACTTGGTTATCAACTGATGTATTAACGAGATAGCCAGATGTCATGGGACATAATATCACAGCGATATGACAAACTTGAATTTATACAACCAAGGTACAGGTATCTTAGTTCAATTGTCATGTCCGGACATCATGAAAATATATAATTTCCTGAGATACTCACTCTCAAATACTATGTTGAGTTTTATCAGTAAATATCTCGTTCAGGATCAATGTCTGACTCTTACACAGAAGCGCTGTTTTTAGAGCATAGGTATTTTATCAGTTGATTACATTTGTCGATGTTGTAGATTCGGGTTACAGATACCTCTAATTCAAGCCCAATGTGTGTGTGTGTGTTATCAGGTAGCGTACATAATACACGTGATAATAACTTTGCAGAACTGGTCCACAAATGAATAATCAATTAGCTGCCAATTGAAAAATTACGTGATTTTTAAATCACCTCACTCTTGGATACCGTACAAGTTTTACAAAAAACAAACATCGTATGATTATGCCCTAAGTTCTTTACACTTCCCACTTCTTTACACCTCCCACTCAACCGTAACTCGACCTTAATTTGGCGAACATTTATTAAATTTCAGGTTTTGAAAAGGTCACATACACATAGGTCATAAGAGCTGTCACATGGTGGAACTAATAAGTTATAAGAAGTGAAAGTCCCACTGACCAGTGAAGAACGAAAACTCTCCCGTAACATATACCAATGAGCAGGGTGGCACAGCAGAACATCTGTAACATTAACAGTGCTAGTGTAACCTGGAGGGAGGTGTGTCAGGGGGAGAAGTTGTTGGGTTAGGAGTAATGTTTGGAATGTGTAATTGGAATGTTAGTAGTTGTGTAGATCTTCTGCATCAGCACAATGGCCTGGCAATGTGTTATTTATATATTTATTAATATAATTCAACCTTTTTAAGTTGTAAGTAAGGCCAGTGATCTGCTCTACAAGTATTATGTTTTAGTTTTAGTAGGGAAATGTTTAGAAGCAATTCTATAACCTATCGTCTTTAAATAGTCTCGAAATAAAATCGATATGTACCTACAGGACAAATATATAAAAACTGGGTATATAAGTTTCCTGTTGTTATGTAAATACATCATATTTATAATATATGATATCTCATTACTCAAAAAACTAATTTTTTTCAAACATAGTACAACTAGCGAATTTGAGTCAACATTCCTGGCACAGAATACACTGGTTTGTGAACCCACCAATTCTCTGGCCCGGTTATATTTAATAAGTCGTTTAATATCGTCGTCAAAGTCGGGTATCTTATCCCGCTCTATCTCTTTCTCGATATCCAATAGTTTGGTCTGAAGAAAGAGATTATTATGTTAGTACTTGTTTAATATTCTAAAGTGGATCTAGGTTCCACTTTTTTAGGCTTTTTGTAGGAAAAGCACCAATTTAAACATAAATTGAAGTCTTTAAAAATATAAACTGTTCATTGATGCAGGAGTCTTTTTAGTATTATGAAATTTTTGTGAGGTATTTCTATCAAGTTTTATAACAAAGATGAGTCTTTCCCCGATGCCAGAATTATTTAGGCAGTAACAAATAAAACCCACCATTCGGTGGCATGAAAGACATAGGCTCCACGCTTTTTGTTGAATAGGGACCATTTAGGAAACAATACTATCTTTCAAGTCTTAAAAAATATAAACTTTTCATTGATGCAGGAGTCTATTTAGTATGGTGAAATTTTTGTGAGGTATTTCAATCAAGTTTTGTAACAAAGAATAGTCTTTCCCCGATGTTTTAGAGCAAATGAGCAGCCTGTGTTCGAGGCCAGAATTTAGTATAGGCATGCGAGTAATGTTGCTTTTCTACTTGTAATTTGGTAATTACCGATATGTAGCTACTTCTCGGGAGGTCTTTTGTATTGTTCTTCAGTGATATTATGTGCTTCTGCATATCCGACATCTGAGATGGAATTATTAACCTGGGGACAACTCCTCTCAGAATTGAAATAGTGTCGTCCCTATAATATCATTTCTGTCATACGTACGATAAACCTTCCAACGACCATCAGCAATCGTTACTATCTTTTAATGATAACAATAGCACCAAACATGCCGATATAGCTTCCACTTTTGGAATGTTCAGTAATATCCGAGATAACTAATCTCGTAATATATATATTATAAAAGTCTTAATATAAGTCTTAAACACTTACCACTTTATCGTACTGATCAATAGTAAGTGAGATGTCTTTGATAAAGACCGACATTCTACTGACATCTCCTTGTACTTTACCCACTCCATAGTACAGTGACACAGTTGTTGTTGCCCTGGGTGGCATTTGTTTATTAAGTTTGCTCCTATCTGATAAGGAACGTACAGCTGGGAAACTTGACGATTTTATAAAAGTTGTCGGTAACCTTTGTACCTAAGGATATCAGCCAAGCGAACAGGGGACAATCATGGGAGTGAGCATATATTATTATGATGCGGAACAGCACAATACCTGTTACAGGTGACCTGTATGAAGTATTCAGTAAAGAGCCTGATAAACCGTTAATAATACAGATTACTTTATAATGTTCCGACGTGATAACGTGACTGTTTAGTGTTTGCTCAAATAACAAAGAGTACCACATGACCTCGGTTATGTTGCTGCAGCAGTGATATTTAACCAAGTTCACGTGATAATTTACTGTTAAACAACAACTCACATGACCGCGAGAGAGCAGCAGAACAGAAAGGTTGTTAGGATGGGGTCGTATTGCTTCATCCTGTAGGAGATACTGTACCCACCACATCTTCTACACCCCAAACAACACTAGGGGAGTTAGTCTCTTAGAACTTTAGAATGTGCTTAGCAAGTGTCTGGCGATGGTTCTTTGATATTATACGATTAGTGATTAGGATAGTTTGAATTCCGATTGATGTTATCGAAAGACTTAACGCATTAGAAGTCTAGCACAGTTGTCAGTTATAGTATAGTATGGTTGCACTTCCAATGTGGTATCATAAGCTAGCTGAATATTCAAATTCCAAGGTTGACCTCATTCTGATATCCAACAGAGGCGAAATGTAGTTGCGGTGATATTTTGTAATTAGTACTATTCCGCTCCTGCCCAAAAAGTTTTTATGTGAGCAAATTTGGAGTAAGAAACAAGGTAATTAAGCTGAACAATTCGCTAAATTGTCAGCCAGTAGTCTCAGGTTGAATTATTCAACATCGTAGTATACAACGTTGCCTAACATGATTGTTCTGTTTAACTTACATTGAGTTTTCTGAATATTCAAGATTAGTAAAGTAGCAAAGGTTTTACAATTAGATGGGCAGGATGGCTGGTGCTGAGTATAATTGAAGCTCGTAAAATTAATCCCCAATTATCAATGATTCCAAACTGTAGAGTTCGTTTCAAGTTCGTCTTAATAAATTTTATCCTCATTACTATGAGCTCATTATATAAATTTAGTGTTGCTCAGTAGCATCTCTCAGCTGATATCAGGGGTAGTACGTATATATAAAGTACCAAAACGGGTATTTACTTTGGGTAGACGAATTTCACTGAGGTGTGTTCACTCAATTTCAAGCCATCAATCCTCTTAGTGAAAACGACCATCATTTAGGACGGTTTTTGTTCCGCCTTCGTGTCCATACCAAAATGAATCATGTGATTGGCCCTCGTGTCCACCCTTTTAGGAAAGTAACGCCTTTGTGTCCTCCGCTCTTGTGTCTACCACCCTTGTGTCCTACGCCCTAGTGTCCTATACCCACGCTTGTTTAACATACCACTCCAACTTCCAAGCAATTGAGCTATTGTGACTAATACCTCACGTCTGAGGATGAAGCTATGATTTATTCAGAAACAAACCACACACCCTCCAGAGTCTGTGTGTCTGGATCCCAGACTCCTGCTTATTATACCACTCTAACCAATGAGAGACAGTTGTTTGTTGGCTATTGTGACTAATACCTCACGTCTGGGGATGTAGCTATGATTTATTCAGAAACAAACCATTCAACTAACAGTTAGTACCATGCTGATTGCTGAACCATCCAGATCCAGATTCAGATGTACCTACCTATGTCACCTATGTTGAGATTCATTAAGCTTTAACAGGGCCATCACATTGTGTGACCACCCCACAGAGAGGAGATCTTTCTGTCATTCCTCCAGCAAAGTAGCGAGTTTGAGTTATGAGAATTCAAACTCGCTGCTTGGGCGGTGTATCCGGAAGATTTAGTAGGGTGGCCCATAAGTGACTACCCACACGCAACCACTTAATAACTCACGTAATTCGTCTCCAAATTGCACCAAAATTTCAGAGATTATAGATATGGGTCAAACTTAGATTTCCTGAAAGTTTCGTAAGCCACGCCCAATTACAGTGGGCGTGGCGTGACACTCCCTCTTTTTCACTATTGTCTTCATAAAATGAGAACGCTTTAAGCTAAGAACTCAAAATTTTTTGCACACATTTGGCTTGATAATTGAAAACTTTTCCAAAAGTTTCAAGTTCATTGGTTAAAATATGGCTGAGTTATGACCATTTTAAAATCCATCGGATATGTGATCCGAGCACTCAGTCAGTGATATTTGCACTCAATTAGTGATCTCGTCACCCAATCTGATCAAGAGTAAGGCGTTAGCGTGTATTAATGAGGTTCATTATGCTTTGATTGGATACCGATGATGACTTTGCTAGAAAGGGAAACACAAATTTTTAGGATAAAAACCAGATCGTGACCTTTTCAGGAAAAGCCGTTCTCTCCACCACTTCATCCGGTCTAGTAGAGCCCCAGTGAATTGCATTCTGGGAGTTGACATATCCGTTTATATGGCCTTGTCGCTGTACCAGATTTCGTCCTCAAAGTAGGGATCCACATTCTGCTTGGACAGGAATGTGTTGGCGAAATCTATCCTCGATTGGAAATCACGGTCCAAAAGTTTGTGTTTCTTTGTGATTCGGTAGGCCCGGTTAGAAAGGTCTTGCTTTAGGATTCGCTGAAGGGTTCTGCTGATGTCTAAGGCAGGAGCTCGTTTCCGGGTGCCAATCTTAGGTGTGTCCATCACGTCACCAACAACCATCGTGATGTTTTCTACAGTCCTCGCAGTTCGTCTTCTGCCGACTCTTCGCCGATCGTGTGCAGAAAACTTGATCTTGTGATGAATGTCAAAGCAGCTTTTCCGGCAAGGGGGTGGTCGGTTGAATTTCATCTGAAATTGTCGTTTAATCTGAGGGTAGAACTCCCCATTTTCTTTCTTCAGGTAGACGAACAATCGTTGTTCTGCAGTAAAGGGAGGATAGTGAACCATTTTCGATGATTCAATGGATGGTTCATTCCTTTTTATTGATTGTAAGGAACCTGTGACTAGCAGGGCTAACAAGCCCTGAAATGGTGACACCACCATAAATTCGTGTGATAGCGTTTTAGGTGCAGTCAGCTGTATAGGCCGGCCCATAAGCAGGCTGCAACCAATCAAGCGGTGCATGTGAGCCAAACAGGCCATTAGCCAAGTGACGAGATCACTGACTGAGTGCTCGGATCACGTATCCGATGAGTTTTGAAATGGTCATAACTTAGCCATATTTTAACCAATGAACTTGAAACTTTGGGAAAGGTTTTCAATTATCAAGCCAAATGTGTGCAAAAAATTTTGAGTTCTTAGCTTAAAGCGTTTTCATTTTATGAAGACAATAGTGAAAAAGAGGGAGTGTCACGCCACGCCCACTGTAATTGGGCGTGGCTTACGAAACTTTCAGGAAATCTAAGTTTGACCCATATCTATAATCTCTGGAATTTTGGTGCAATTTGGAGACGAATTACGTGAGTTATTAAGAGGTTGCGTGTGGGTAGTCACTTATGGGCCACCCTGTATGTGACTATTCTAGAACTCTGCGATCATTAGTAATTGTGTCAGGAATGGAGCAGTACGTTGTTATTCTACCTTTGTTAGATAATTCTAGCAGTGTCTTGAGATTAACTAACTTTGCCCATTTAGTAGTATCGTGAGAAATGTTTCTCGGGGTGAAAGTTGAGTATTTTTTTTGTATGTGACTTTGCTGGAACCCTGCGCGGCACTGCGATCATTAGTAATTGTGCCAGGAATGAAGGAGTACGTTGTTATTCTACCTTTGTTAGATAATTCTAGCAGTGTCTTTAGATTAACTAACTTTGCCCATTTAGTAGCATCGTGAGAAATGTTTCTTGAGGTGAAATTTAAGTATTTTTAAAAGTCGCCCTACTTACTATTACCGTTCGAATTTGCTCAAGTGACCATTTACTAGATTTGGTTAAAAGCCGGTTTAAAACGTTATTGTAGCATTGCTATGCCGCAGGTGATCTTGCATTAATAATAACGTTATACCAGTACGAGTTTAGATTTATTTTAACCTGAACCTAGATACCTAAATCTAAAAACCTAAATACCTAAACATAAATACCAGTGTGACAATCGCATTCTTCCCTCATTCTTTAAACTTGTTTAGGAAACAAAAAAAATTAATTTCAAATATGACTGTCATATTAGCATTTAAACATGACTGTCATATTAGCATTTGCGAAAGTATGCACGCTGAATGATATCATTGTACCACTATACTAACCGACGTCTTGCCAAAGATACAAGTTTGAGACTCGCTCTGCGATCTCCATCGTCTAGTTTGTTGTCAGATCAAGACTGTAGAGCCAAACCAAGGATCAGTTGGTCTTATGCTTGAGTGGATCGTTCTTAGGTAAGAATGTTAGTGTGCACTGGACCTCAGTGAAAACTCAACCGAGGAGGGAAAGTTTTATATTCGTAATAGTAATTAGTTGTAGATATTAGTCTTGAATAAGCCAGACGAAAGAAAATTAATTTCATTCCTCCTACTAATTTTGCCATTGATCTTACTGTTCCTCATTTTACAAACTCTAGGCTAGGTCATTTAATGCTAACGACTTAATTGAATTTCTTATTTTTCGTGCCATAACAAAATTAATGCAATCACAGGACGTTTCAAACTCAAGTCTTTGTGTTAGATCGGACAAGATCATACGATCCAATTTCCTAAAGTTCCAAATACCTCCAATACTTTAAATTCTTCTTCCTATTGATACCTAAATATTTACATTTTTTCCTCTAGTTGCTCTTCCATGTTTATTTATCCAAACTCTAGATTTACTGTAATTTCTGGTAACAGAATTGTTGAGTTTCTTGAGGTGATTGTCGACCACTGCTACATCAAATGCGCCTCAAACAATTAAATGATCGCCAGCAACACATTCCAATCTGGTAAAAGTTTCTGTCGGGCTGTTTGTTCATTTTAATGCTTAAATTATCATAAATAACAACCGATGTCAACACGTTTCAAATTGTTGAATATAATGTAAACAGAGCCTGTAAAAGAACCTGTAATTCTTCAGACGGATATTACATTTATATTACAAACATAATTACCCACTATTTGTTGTATTTTATATTTTTTCTAATACGTAGATCCCAATCTTTAAGAGATGTTATTACTCTTGATTCATATCTGGGAATGGTGTATTGATACATAAAACCCAACTGCCAAAATTTGTTTGTTTTTAAATTATAACTCGATAAGAGATACTGTACCCAAATATCTTATTGAACTAACCTTTCTTGTCCTCTGAGATTTAAGTATTATATTCAGTGTATTAGATATTACTATAGGCCTGCGAAGGTAAATTGGCGGACAGTGACATACTTCAAAGTCAATTATCAGATGATTTGCTTACTTTTTTTAACTGTTGAACCGTAGGATTATAAATTATAATATCTGCTATTTCATATCTACTTATCTATTTTTTGACATGCACGTGTCTACGCTTCAATTGCAATTGAGTGAGTTGTTCGTGTTTTTAATTTTATAAACACCACCAGTATTGTTATAACGGAGGCGAAATATTATCCGACCGGCAAATAATACAACTAACCAGGCATTATTTAACCGTGTTGTTGCAAGTTCATTCAGTGGCGCCCATTTTACCTATTTAAGATCTATTTCCGGTCTTCGCAACAATGATTTCAGGATTTTAGCTGTCCACGAGACTGTTTTTAAACGTGCACTTATCATAAAATTATCATAAAATGATTTATGACTGAGAAAATATCACATACCAAATCACGTGGATGGCATTGGGCGAATATTTGTGCCTAATATTTGTGCCTCGACCGGCCCGTTTATCTAAACTGTTGCTCTAAATTTCTACCTTAACTCAGAAGTTACCGTCTCTGCTGAACCAGTTTCAACTGTTCGTGTCAGTTGGAATTGTTGCAAATGTGAGCGTGACTGGGTTTACATTTACCATAAACTGTCGGGACACGGCTCTCCCAATTCTCTACAGTACCTATAATAATCCAAACTACCAGTAATTAATGTTCACTACAGTACCTTAGTTCATATAATTTGTTTTGAGACATTTGGCCACTCACATCTGTATCGGTTGGTCTTATATCTGCAGTTTGCTTTTTTTCATCCCGGCCGTAGCCCGCATTATACTAGTTATTTAATATATCTAAGAATGATATTATTATACATCTAACTTTATTCGCATTTCGCAGTTACATTACCTGTATAAATCCAAAAGTAATGAAGAGAGCCACGCCGAATACCACACCCGATAAACTGTAAACCTCTAAACTCTGAAATAGGTCCGGTAATTATTCATTAATGCTTAATAAATCAATAATACTAATCAATACTAATTGTGTAAAGAAAAAAACCTATATTTACCGCTGAGTTTAAGGGAAAGTAAAAAGCTGTGTTACATCAGTGTCCGCGGTATATCAGGTTTTTAACTGTACAGTTAGTTTTAAGAAACTATAGCGATTCGAATAAATGGTCAAAATGGCACTTCCATCAGTTACTAATTTCGTAATATTGACAAAGTTAAGTAAAACATAATTTGAACTTAAAATCGCCACGTTTGGGTATTGCCATAGTCTATATCGCATACACGAATGTAGCAATATTATTACCTACACTCACCCTCCGCTATAAATTCCATACTACAGAGTGCTCCAAGAAAAACATGACCTTTTTTATAGAGAAAATTTCAATTAGAAAAAACATCTGATCTTCCTGAAACTCTTTAACTAGTTAGTCTTAACCTTTTTCTAAAAGTACTTGAAATGTATTTTGGAATCCGTTGGACTTTTTTCCACAAAAGGCAAATTCCCGGAAGACCAGTTACAAAATCTTTGCACGAAGTTTCCGTATTTGACATTCTCCATCAGCTAGATAATTTGGGGCCATATTACCAGCGGGGTAATTTTGGATGTCAATTCATGTTGGAAAAGCCAATGGGAACATTTCTTTAAAGTTTTCAGAGCCCATTAAATCTTTCCAGCTCCGCGAGGAGGCGATTGTTTGGCATAATGCCCAACTATGGGCATGCAGACCTTGAAAATTGATGTAGCGGACAAACAGTACATTTTAGAATCAAATGGATATCACCACTGTGTTCCTTGATACATTTTACATCTAGAAACATTACCATTTAGATTGATAAAAGTGATTTTTGAGGTTTTATGACGGAAAACTGCGCTTTAGCCAGATACCACTCGTTTCCGGGCATGAGGAGCGTCCGGGCCGTCCCATATATTATCACATATCTCCGATTAATATTTTTTAAGCAGTTCAAGGAGTGTCAGAGCTACATCTGTGTGCAAGGATAGGTAAAAATATCACTTTTTAGCCGAGCCACAGCCCCAGAACCTCACTAGAATGACATGATCATAACCTTCATTCAGCTTGATATTTTGTATCAGCTATCCCGAGATATATAGCTGTGACTATACAAAAGGATAATTGCTTTGTGTATGTACTTTTTTCTCCGTACCCCAAAAAGTGAGAAGGTTTTTTACTCACCCTGTAATATTATATCTCTTAAAGATTCCTTCACTAGGGATTGAACAATGGACATATTATTTTGTTTTCTACATTCTTTCAGACTTTTACTTAAATCTAGTTATACATTACTTTATTGAATATTTTATCGAACTAAAGTCTAAGGTGTAGTATTGCCATTCATTTTGTAACGGAGTTTTATATTAACAGGAAACGATGTAACAGAGTCGATATATTTTAATGTTGCAGTGGGGTGGCAAGTCCCCATACATCATGGTCCGGTAGTTTCATTGCGTCCTAATATATGCATATGATATGGTTAAATCTTTGTTAAAATCCCCGCGTCGAACCTAGTTTAACTATCATAGATTTGTATAACTTCTCTTAACTTAGTATTCTTGTTATTTTCTGAGATGACTAGTTTAAACACTGCTGAGTATAAGTTTTATCTTAAAATCGGTGTTATATTCGATACAATTTTGTTTGCTTTTATAGTCAAGCCTAGCACAGTGCTTATAGAAACCGGGGCTTCGTTGTTATCTTAATGTGTTAAGTTTATTCAATCATTCTAGGTCTTACCTTTTTTGCCACAATTTGATTTTTAAATCTTATTTAAATCCAATGCAATAATTGGGGAAGGCCGCATTTCAACCTGGAAGTTACATAAAATAACTTTGCGACGTAATACATTTATACTACCATAGCAACTCAGAAACGAGGAGCGCATTGGTTAAAATGTTGGGATGTGAACTCGTACGCTCGTACTGATGCGTAGTCGCATGGTACCTGGTGTATCATAAAATAACGCTGATTTCCCAACCTCGACAGTCGACAATAACGATTTGAGACTTCACCTCAAAAGCCATAGATCGGGAAAAATCTGAGCTATTTCAATTTTGCAATCTTTTTTCTACATAACTTCGAGGAATTCGCAGAAGAAATATGTTTTTGTTTTAAATTGGACGCCCTAACTTTGTGATTGCTATTGTGACAGCTCAACACATTCAAGTACAGAGTATTTATCTTTGACGTCTATTTGTGTTTGCCAATATGTTTGCCAATATGTTGACCTATGTGTTATCCAATATTATATAATATGGAGACTTATATATTTCACAGGGCCGCTCCGAAAGATTTAAATTTGTTAGGATATTATATATTATTGCCTACATATCATGTGTATGTACAATATATATATATAGAGTACAAGGATATGGCACGTGCTGTTTAAGACCCATGTACCTATTATAAACGGTGCTCACTAGAAATTAGTGAACAATTAGCACTGAAGTAACTCGTTTGTGACAACATAGTTGACATTTTCTACAGCTTATTTTATCTTTTTATGTTTCGTCTGTTTTGTGTCTAAAGATTTCATCAGAAGTTAAGAAAAATAAAATGACTAAGATAAGTACCTGGATATACTGATCATTAGAGAAGTTGAAGTTCTTGTGGACGATGTCTTGTAGTGACAGATTCAGGTGGGGTAGCTCGTGAAGAGAATTTGCTAATCCATACTCAGATCTCAGCTCATCGTTCATACTACCTAGCTCTACATAGTTCATTCTATGCTGAATAATATGTTATTAAAGTTAGGTTGCTTTAATTTCTGTGTTTTTGAATAACTGGAGAATCGTCTACCTCCAATGTAATTATATCAATTTATCGTCAATAAAATATAAATAAGTAATAAAAGTATAATAAGTAAAGCCAAATTTTATACAGCAATTTATCATTGATATTTGTGTCAGACAATAGATCGGTATAAACCCTGCTTGCACTTGATGAGCTTTTGATTAAAATTAAATCTAAAATGTAGGGTAGTACACACAGAGCCCCATTGTTAACATTCACTGTTGAAAAGTTTAACTATTTAATTAAAAACAAAACAGGGGACTTTCATCCTATTATTGTAGTTTTCCACTGACTTGACCTAAACTGGATAGACAGATAATGAAATTCAGAGGTCATTAACTTAGTTGAGGATGACGCTCGTCCAATCCATCGTGCAAAATTAACAAACATAATTTGAGACATTATTAACTTATTGCATTGTCCTCCAGACAGGAAGCCCGTTTAAGCAGATTAAAGTTTTGTTCAAATTACCTTTTAGTCAGATAATTGATCTTCTTCACTTGCTGTTCACGTCTCGGCGACTTAACAGCGGATACTTATAATAAGTAGGTACCAGGTCGAATAGCATAATAATCTGTCAGTTCGTCGTCAAAATCTGTCATTTTGTTCTACTGTGCAGTGTCGGTATAGGGATAGTGCGCATCACTTATTACGATCATTTAAAATGGAATAATAATAATAATCAGCACTGAGTGGACAATCTACAAATTTTGTTTAAAATTTTTCTTCCGCTTGCCACGATACCTACTGTCAAATATCGTCTGTATTTTTGTAGATTTTAAATACACAACGGACGAAATATTAGACATTGAGGCTTGTAAGAGCTTTAGTTGTTAACAGATGCTTTTTAAGGTTTGATTTTAACGCCCAAAATGTGCTTTTGATGCACTTTAATAACACGTTACACGCTGTACCTGTCGCATGTCGTCAATAAAGAATTTAAATAGACAATAGACATGTTGTAATTGGTTACTTTAGGTGGTTACTCAATCTGTCCTTTTGGGAGGGAAAGAGACTTTGCAGATTCTAATCCGCTCATACGGTTTATCCACGTGACACAACTAACACGTGACACACCTAACACGTGACATAACTAACACGTGACACAACTAACACGTGACACAACTAACAACAGATTGCACCACCAAAAGTCTACTTATATCACACTTCATTCGAGATTCTAATTAAAAACAAATTTGATTTTAGTAACTTGAGCTAAGAATCCCTAGTTACCTAGCAACCAGGGCTTTAGTTACCTAATCTGATACCGTCTAGCAACTGATGTAATTATATTGAGTACTATGTCACCGTAATAGTTCACATAATTTGAATTTCTTTATAGCTAAGAATATCTCTTCATTTATATGTAATATGCATAGACTTTTATTCGTACCAAAAATGTGGGTTTATTTCTATTTGCTTTAATTGTTGATAGTTACCTCCGTGCGTTAGACAGTACGCTCAGTATGATCCGTTACCTTAACTACTGTTTTCACTTTTCAGAGGTTCATGACTCTTTAAATAAAGGAGTAACAGTAGCTTACAAATAGAGACCAATACTAGATATCCTACACTTGCTTTCTCATATTATGTCATTGATCTCCTGAATGATATAATAACATGACAAATCATTGTCGATACAATGCTCCAATGCTTACGATCACAAAGAAGTTCACAACGCAATGTCTTTGTTTCCAAACTAGACTTGGTAGTGTAACCTTGTTTTCATGAGGTTAGACCTTCTGGTGGGTCCACGTCACATATGTATCTACAACTTTATGTATGTGACTCTATTGTTCTTTGAAAGGCAAGACTTAGTTATTGGAAAGTTATAACGTCGTTTTTCTTGCATAGTTCTTTGTAGATTACGAAGTTTGTTGTTGTTTTAGATTGACAATACGAGGATGCAAATCATCGCATTAACGCTATACATTATATTTAGGCTTTGATTTGGGAAAAGGCAAGGTATTACTTAATAGATTTTCAAAGTTTGGAACATGGTTTGGTTGAAAAGTCTGAGGTCGAGGGGTGCCCCGCAGAGTACATCATAACCAATTACCAAATCATACCAGATACTATGAACATAATATAGACAACACACAGAGAACTTGTCCATGGAATGACATATCTGAAGGTCCTCACATCACTCCTTTTCGGATATTTCACCTGCATCCAGTCGACTGAGTTCTACTTCAAGTGCTTGAAGACTAAGATAGATTTCACGACAGCTCAAAAGCTGTGCGAGGATGGCGGGAGGAAGCTGGTCACAATAAGAAATGAGCAGGAGGAGACTGGGCTTAAAGCACTAGTCAGATCGGAGGAATGTTCAGGTAAATTTCTTAGCAAGAATTTAGTAAAGTATTTATTTAAGAATTTAATTAAATTACGTACTTTGAAGTCTTGACTTTTTAACCTGCCGAATTTAACAGCACCCTTCTGTTACACAATAGATGATTTTGAAACTGTGTCAACCTCAGTAAACGCAAATTGGAGACATGCCTGGTTGAACTACCAAGCGGGCCGGTGGCTGGATGGCTATCCATTGTTATACAACAACTGGAAAGTTAAAATACCCTCCACAAGATGTGCTAAGTTTTCACTCAATGGCTGGATTATAAGGAAGTGTTCTGTCGAAGCTGCTCGTGTCCTGCTGTGTGAAAATAGAGGTAATTATTACTTAAAACTAAAAGGTAACTTATCAGATTAACGTAAACAAACCTTGTTTTTGTAGGATTTATAGTTTATACTTTATGCCGTCTAATACTGTGTACTTTTAGGAAGAATTTGGCTTCAAATAATTAGTATTAACCGATTTTTTAGATGATGAGAACGCAGGAGAATACAAAGTACTTTTAAAGAGTACGACCATCATGCACACCATTGATGCAATTGTTGGAACAAATGGAATAACTGTTACGTTTTTCGTTTCTTCTAGCACTATGGTCCAGGTAATTAACGATTTTTCAAATCCAGATAATCACATTTGTAATATGCTACAATTTAGCATGTATTACAAACGTGGATATCTGGAAACTTATCACGTCATTTCTATTTCAGTCAGGACTTTTAATCGTTAATTCTTATCATATGACGTCATTACGTTATCTTCCTTCAATTATGAGTTATAATAGACGTGGGATGACGTGTAATTTGTAATTTGTAGTTATGTAACGTGATTTTGAAGAGCTACCACATTCCAGTAATTGACCCCAAAACTTTGCAGCTGGAGATCTTTGACAACGAGATAACAATTTATTTGTTTCTACGAGAAGGGGAACCAGTAGAACTAATTGAAAGGAAACTGATAGCAACTGCTGAGGATATCAAACTTATGGATGTTTCTTCTGGGGACTATACATCTTTCACCCCAATATCTATCGACGCGAAGTTTATTATATCATTCATAGCAGAATCAGGTAACTAAACATTCGTTTTTTGCTAAGACGTTAGGTTTAATTTACGACATATAATTCATGAAAATAAAACAAAGAGCTATAATATACTGTAATTGTTACGTACTTACTAAAGCTGTACTGTATAAGTGGTGATGGGATCACTTTTATGCTGAACACCAATTGTAACGTAAACTTAGCAATGTTTAAATTTCTTAAAAAATTGATCAGAAGGAGGACATCAACATGTCACGGTACTAACAAAATAACACATACATGCTACATGAAAAGGTCTCCTCCTAGTCGTTGGAGTGGCCGTCATCACACACATCTCTTCTACGGCGTAACATGCTCCTCCAAAAAAAAACTACCCAACAATATTTCCACAGATTGCACCCTCTACAATGTCAATGTTTTTGAAACGACAGATACGACTGCGGAGCCATTGATAAGCTGGGATAATAGGAACTGGGTCGTGGATGGACCTTTCAGATACAGCTCACCTCATGTCCTGAACGAACAGATAATGGGTAATTTATTTAGTAAATTTAAATTTACATAAAACTGAAATCCGGCTGCATACTTCAAGCCTGCATACTTCAAGCCCTGAAGAATAAGGCTTTATACCGTGCCTCTCTATAGCGGGTACCTCATATACCGAACCTCTTCTTTCCCCAAACGTTTCACTATTAGATCGTGCTGTGATTTATCATAGCTCATATATCGCAATTAGTGGTGATTTGAGTAATTAGTGGTGATTTAAGTACATATCGAGCAGTATTTCGTCCCAATACGACACATATAAGGCGCTAATGGGGTATATGACAAGTTATTTGATACAAATACGGAGGATTGGGATCATGTGAACCTACCTTTCTCTATACCAAATTAGAGGACACTAGTATCAGTACAACAAAAACAGCAAATTCAGACAAGAATAAGACCAGTAAAAAGGAAGACGGCTCAAGAGGATCAACCAGAACTCTTTCCAAGGAACTACAAATTATGAAAATACCAAATTCATCGTTTCAGAGTGGGTTAGGAAGGTATTGAAAGTTACCTCGGGACCAGGTAACAGGGGAGTTGTTCGTCCAGACGTGTAATGAATATCACATTTCAAACTTTTTCTCATCAATGGATGAGAGAAAAAATACATTCTTCATTCCTTCAATCATAGCTTTTCATAAGATTGAAAAAAACCCAATTTTCGTGAACTAGAAATATGACTTGAGGAAAAATGTTACCGCGTAGCTCAAAGTTAATTTTATTGAGTAAATATGAGTACTGCCATTATGGTTAGTGGATGATTTTAATGAGACAGGGTCATTTTTCTATATTCTCAGAAAATTCTTGTTAGCAGTAGGCAATGGTGAATGTTCGCATTGAGGTACCATTTAAGCACTTGCGGCTAACAATAACCATTCATCGAACTCGATACATAATATCAGCAATTACACTTTACCGTAATCAAGCATCTCTATTGATTACACCTGATATTTTCAGATAACCGCATCTGCAAAGAAGGGACATATCTGGACACTTCTTCAGCAAGCTTGCAATGCTCGGATTGTCCTGCTGGATATTATCAAAACTTGAAGAATGCAACATTCTGCAAAGCTTGTCCTCCCATATTCACTGGAACTGAGACTGGCCAGACATTCTGCACTTGTATGAGGGGTGAGTTGTTCACCAGTAGCTGACACTTAGTGCCCAGGTCCTTTTTTCCATGAGACTAATCAAATATGTTCCATGATGTAGAAGAACTACGAAGATTTCATCACAATACTGCCTATACAACTTATTACAAAATATGTTCCACCTTCATGAGTATAAATCATGATGTTGTAAGGAAATTTAATGATGAATCACTCTTTGGTTAAGAAAATAAAAAATGAAAACTTTTACAGATGACTGCGAGGAAAACCCTTCAGATGAACCCATTGTAGAAACCTCGACTGAAAAGCCAATTGCAACAAAAAAACACACAACTAAAATTCCGACAGAAAAACTTACGACAAAGGGACCAACAGTGAAACAAGTTACAACAGTGAAACAAGTATCAACAGTGAAACAAGTAACAACTGTCCAACCCGCCACTGATGCACCAGAACCTTCTAGAACCATACCTATATTCCCTGGTGACGGTAGCGTGATTTTTATTGCTTCAAGTACCACCATAACATACGAATATTAATACGATCATAGTTTGATGAAAAATCTTTTAAAATGTTGGCACTCAATTTCTCTCATTTTTCACACGAATCTCACCTACAACCATCATCACAGGTTCAACAACAATGACTACAGTTGAACCAAAACCAAGGTGCACCTCCGAAGAAAGATCCGACGGAATTTATGGTAAGCTCACGAAGTTCGTCCAAGGCCACTGAACACCAAAATCTGTAATCTGAAAGGCACGATTTCAAGAACTAATAGTAATATTTTAAATTCAAAATCGTGTCAGTTAATGAACAAAATCACAGGGCAATTTGAATGGAGTACAGTTGAGGTAGGAGAAATTAGTACGAGCAGGTGCTTTTACAAGACTTCAGATGACATTTCTTATGCTCACCGAAGATGCTCCAGTGGATTCAATAGATGCGTATTGGGAAACACCTGACTATACGAAATGTGCAACAAAGAAGGATATAGAAATACGTCAAATGACGTCAACTAAGGTAACAGAGGAAAATGCTGTTGCGTTTGCAGATAATCTAAAAGAGATGACAAACAGTATGGAGGAAGTATCAAGTTCGGGAGTTGAAGCCACTGTGAATGCTTTGAAAGAACTTGAGAGTCATACCAAACCAGAGAATTCTCAATCATTTGTTGACATAAGCAGCAATTTATTGGATGCAAGTGATGAAACCTTAAACAAAAGCAAATCAAGGTAATTTATATAATAAAATAAGAGTTTCACTGCAAAAGAGCAAGCCAGACAGTGGCGTAATGTTGCCTGTTGGCCCCCCCCCCACCCCCCCCCCCACTGAAAGAGCGCCCCCTGTTGGCGCCCTCTCCCCTATTGGCGCCCCTCCCTAAATTTGAACAAATTAGATTATTTTAGAGGATACACCTATAAAATCTCTAAAAAAGTGTGTTTCTAGAGCAAAACGCACAGTTTTATCCCACATTTAAACAACGATTTTGCACCCCCTAATATGCCCGCGCCCCCCCCCCCCCCTTCGTTACGCCACTGAAGCCATCACCTTTAAGTTGCAGTGAAACTATGACATGATGTGGGATTGGATTGACTTTGTTTGGTTACACAAACTCGGTGTAAAATCAAAGTTAATATTATCGATTTTAATAATTATCCTTATCATTTTCAGCTTAAAGAATTTGATGACGAAAATGGCCAAGTCAATAGCTGAATCCGACACTGAACAGAAAATATTCACCAAAAATGTGGACATTTTAACAATTAAGTTTGATGCGAACAAACCAGCTACAGTATCTAGCATCGACACCAATATTGAAATTCCAAAAAGCCTGACTTCACAAACAAATGGTAACATATTATAATATATTCATATAAGTATAAGTATCAGCAATGCAGCTTATCAACAATGATCTGATGCATGAGCTAAAGGCCAGATAAATAGAATAAAATCTACTTGAATAATCTGAAAATTGATAACAAAATTTATCGACATTACAGGAGCATATTTGGTAGTGTATAAAACTGCCAAGCTTTTCAAAGCGGTGGAAAAGGATGAAAAGATGGCAGTCATATCAGATCTACATTTCTCTGGAATAAAAGTGGAGAATTCAGAGGAGATAAAACTCGAGTTTGAGGAGATGCAAAAATGGACAGTGAATGATTCTCAGACAATACAGTGTGTATTTTGGAATGACACCTTTTGGGACGACTACGGTTGCAGATACGACCCAGCAGTGAAAGCTTGCTTCTGCAACCATGCCACACCATTTACATCAATTCTGGTATATATCTAAATTGCTAACTATTCTGGGACAAGTTTTATGTGGTTAATAGAGTTTAAAAGTAAAGTAAAGTAAAATAAAATTGATGGCATCGCATCATCACACAATATGTCTACAAAATATCATCGGCCATCGCACTAAACAAAATAAATTTAATGGAAGTAGGAAATGCTACCATTTTTATGACACACTAAAATGCTTCACCAATCAGCCTGCTGCCTCGGCCAATCAAATTCCAGAATCACTGTCATGTGTCAAATCAAACTTACATCACCTACCCACCTTTGTCCTTTACTCATGTCTTTTTTAACATGCTATCCCACAGAGTTTTAAACAAACAGATGTGGTGGAGCCTGTCAACCAAGTGGTGTGGTGGATAGAAGTTATTTGTTTCTCAGCCTCTATAATAAGTTGCATTATATTTATTGTCATCATCCTCAGTATTAGGTAACTAAGCTCATTTTCTTAAAATTCTTCCATATTATTATATATTATTTCAAGCTTTACAGCATTCTTGATGTAGCAAGATCTTACTTCATGTTAACAACAGCTAGAAATCTTAGAAATCTTTATTTGATTTATTCCTCCCTAACTAAATCTACATTTTGTTATATTACAGAGGTTTAAGAAAGCTCCAGAGCTTCAAGATGCATTGTATCCTGGCTGTGGCACTCCTTCTTCAGTATACCGGATACCTTACACTCGATGTTGTTGAACTGGAGGTAATCGTTATTTTACATGGTCAGGAATGATTAACCAGTTATTAGTTTAGTAATTAGTTGATATCACTTTTTAGGTAATAAGAAAACTAATTTTGAATCTTTATGGTGACAAAATAGCAGAATATAAGGTTATTAAAAGGCGGTTCTCAGTTATAACTCAATAACTTGTGAACTAAATGTTCAGTCATCCTATATTCCAACTGTGCATAATATAACATTAAATTAAGATAACCAATACCATATACCATTCAGGGTGCACAATGCAAAGCTATTGGATTTTTGGTGCACTGGATAACGCTGGCTTGCTTCTTGGCCATGTTTGCAGAAGCTTTATCAGTTTACCTAGCCATTGTCATAGTCTTTGACACTCATGTCAGCCATATTGTTATCAAGGTCGCACTATTTTGTTGGGGTAAGTTCATGCTATATTTAAAATTGTAATTACTGTATCTATTCAAAGCAGTTAAGAGAAAAATGTAACACTCCTCAACTAAATAGAACAATTTCCAAAAATAAATAATATAAGTAAATACAATATTTTCAGGTACAACAGGCACTTTAGTTGGACTGTACGCAGGAATAACTGAAATGGATCATTACAGGTAGGTAACTGTTATGGTCACAAAAATGGTAAAAATATTGATAGGATGAACTTGCGTTTTAGTAGAATTGGTCCTAAACAAACATCGTGCAATTCATCATGCCAGTGCTTACATATTTCCGGCATATATCACAAACTGCTTAATCACAGAAAATATCCCATGTCATAGGACTAATTTTTGATGCTTGTTGCAATATGGCCCACTGATATCAGTTTGGCTAACTGACTTACATTTTCAGTTGCACCTCTAATGGATTTTTGATAGCACCTTACAATTCGTACTTCTTAACCATACCTGTACTATGTGTTCTTCTTATAAACACTGTCATGTTTGGAAGAGTGGTTTGGAAAATGGTTCGAAAAAGCATGACCAAGTAAGCAAAGTGTTTTGAAAGAAAATTGTTTACTTTTATTACCCTTTGTATATTTAAATCAACCTTTTTCTCGCAAAAAAAGAAAATTATTTAGGACAAGAAATTATTAATTTTGATCAATTCTTTAAGGTCAGAAGGTGGTTCCAAAAGAGCACAAGTTTTGTCGCAGCTAAAAATGATTTTCACTCTCAACACCATGCTGGGTGCTGGATATCTAATAGGACTTGTCGCTAGCTTTTCTATGGCTTTTGAGATTATGTTTGTTGTCATCAATGGATTGTCAGGACTCTTCTTATTGTGCTTATTTGGAATTTTCAACCCTATGACAAAGGCTGCCATAAGGAAGTCATTTAGAGAGATTGGTCCATCGACGAGGTCAACATATGCATACACATTAAAAACATCAGACACTAGAGAAACTCTAGAATGAGAACCAGTGACCCTTAGCAATTGACCTAGTTGGCCATAATGTAAAACACAGTTTTTTACTGGTGTCAGAAGATCTTCTAAAATTGAGCAAGCACTGCACAACTCCACTGAACGAACCATGGACGAACCTTCACCAGACATTTTGTTTATTTTGCTGTTATGCATCATGGAATTGTGGAGAACTGGCAGTAATTTTAAGTTTGTTTTTAATTTTAATACGAAAATAGGACAGCATAACAAATATGCTCTGTGTAATTTTTTATTTGACTATACTTTTATTGTTTATTGTTTATATTTTCAATTTTATGTGAAATGTACGATTTTAATATTGATGACATTGGATATGAGCCTACTAACGATGTTATAGCCATGGCAAGGAATACTTTATAATGATTATGTACAGCTAGGAGTAAAATGTATTAACAGTTTTTATTTGTTTAAAGAAAGGTCATTCAAATGAACAATTAAATACAGGGGCTGGGGGCCAAAAGTTAGTGTGCAGACGTTGGGTCTTATACCTCCGCCGTGTTTTATATTTGAGAGTTGTTGCTTTGCAGATGGCACACTGTACCTACTTGTTCGAGGATTCCCTCGCCAAAATTTGAAAATTCGAATATTTTAGACCACACCCATTCAATAATAAAACACCTATATTGTTTTTTCTGAACATTCTTGTCGCTTGATGCTGGACGCCTAATTTTTTCAGTGACGGTAGATTATTCGTTATTAAATGTTGCATCTGATTTGAAAAATGAGGCTACAGGAATTACTAGAAATGACGAAGTTATCAAGCATTTTGTGTATCTCGTCAACAAAATTGACTGGGTAACTGACACCGTGACACGTCACCTTTAATTAATTGGCCACCCTTAACAATTCTCACAAGACATCAATGAAACAAGAAATTTTTCAATGAAAATATACCTTTGCCCTGTTTGGTATTCCATCTTGCTAGCAAGCTTCTTTACTAGTCTTTCAGCTTCACCACCCATTCCATCAGATGTTGAGAAAACTAACGGCGTGAAGCTTAGCTTCCTTTCTCTACTTCCAGAACCCTTGCATTGTAACACCTTTTCTTCTCATTTTCATGGGACTGGTACATAGCTGGGATCGATTTGCTTGCATTGGAGGGGGCTGGGGCATGGAATACCCTTACATCAAAATATGCCCTCTCTGAAGCTTTCCAAATCGATCTTGCAGAAATGTCCAGCCTAGCTTGGTCTCCTAGGACTGTTCCCTTTGGTAACTCTAGACCATCAACTGGAAGTAGAACTGGCTCAGTCTGCACATCCTTGCATTTCACAGTTCTCATTAGTACTGCAAAGGTGTCTCTCAACGAGTTGTGCCGCAGTGACACATACCCACCGAGTTTGCAGATGAGCGCATGGTTTGCCGAGTATTTCTGGCCACACGAACATGTCTGATGTCTTAGGGCTATCCTTTAAGTTTACCTTACTCGGGAATATTATAGCGGGTTAATTTATGACTGGGAAAATTAATAACCGGGAAAAATATGGCGGACTTTCCCAAAACCCGCCAAATTATCCCGGTCATGTATTTACCGGTGGCCGACCTTTCAAGTTTTTTTTCAGAGGTCAACAAATTTTCAACCGAAATTACTGTTTTTGTTACTTGTTAAAGAAGTTATTTCAATTTACAGTTACTGATATTACTCAGAAATAGAAAAAAAGACACGTCTAGTTTTTAAAGGAAAATAAATCTATAGCAATAATAAGTCAAATCTTCATTAAAGCGTATTCTCATTCTCATTATCGCTAATGTCCCCTCCATTATCATTATTGATATCCCCCTGCTGCTGACCGTCAAATTTGAAGTTGTATTGTTGTCTTAACAAGACTTTCATTTTGTCCGCTAATGGGGTTACTGCTCTGAAGGTCAGCCGGAGCTTTGTAGCGCGATGCACTACTGGGTCGCGCGCGCATCAAATAATGCTTCTCGCAACCACAGTAGTGTGCAAACCAACATTCGAACCACCAGCAGCTGGTGGTCAATTTCCTACGAACGCGACTTAATTTTGGTTCAGACTGGAGTCGAGCGCTACGTTATAGCTGTATATATAGCTCGTTTCACGACGAAATCTTCATTTATTGAGTTTGTCTGTCGATTATGTTGGAGTTTGTATTTTTAATTTTGTACTCGAATACTGTTAATTTATTTTTATTAAATAGTTGTTTTTCGTAACAGCACACTAGTACGTGATTCCTTTTGTTATTCTTACATAATTAGGAAGATTTTAAACTTCAATACTATAAATAATCAAATATTTACGAACACCGATCATCGGTATGTACCCATTATGCATTATTGGTATCGAAGTCTTATGTTGAGCTGGATATCGAAAAATTTCAAAATGTAAGGCTGTAATTTTGTACTTGTTTAGGTGTAGAACTAGGATTAACAACTTGATTGCTAGGAGCTAGGAAGAGATTTTAGTAATGATGACCCTTTAAACTTAAACTATATCTCTAGTGCACTTCGATCGGTTTTCTTTTCAATTTTGATAAAACCTAGTCGTGATCTTTGTTTCAGAACTTCACTAATTTATTAAGTTTTGTAGTTTATATAGACGGAACATGAGCAGATACCATTTGATTAATTATAATATATCCGATTTGAAATATTATTCTGTCGGAGTTTGAGTTCAACATGGACACATTTATTAACATCCCGCATGAATTTGTGTCGTCTTTACAATTTTTGCGCTGAATTTGTATGCTTATTAATACTGCCGCATGATATCAGTAGCTGCTATAAAACTAGAGTGTATAGCATGTGTATTATACGATGTTTCCCACGTAAAAATCGCAGGTTGTTTTGGTGCGGCTGGGCACTCTACTGGTGATTGACACCAGAGACTGAGAAAAACTTTGACATAATTTTCAAGTTTGATATGACCTAATAACTACCACATTTACAGGAAGTATGGTAATACATTCTTGTCAGCTGTCTGGGCAAATATTCTCTCGCAGAATTGGATTAAAATTTAATGTATTTTATTTCTCACTTCCAACGATGTCGCAATTATTAGGTAAAATTTGAAGTTATTTTGAGATTCAATTAATAAATTTTAGATTGCAGCTTGATATCACTTAGTATGTACATTGTACTCGGTTGCAAGGGTAGAACTTATGAGAATACTATCATAGTATTATTGCACTATACTATTATGGGTTCATCAAAGTTCGTATCATGATTTGTCACAATTAAACTATCGAGTCACTTGAGGAAACCCGTTAAAGCTCGCAATTGGCGACGAGATAAAGTTTGTGGTACCTCTAGATGTTAAGTTAACTCTTAGGCTCCAATCTTCCTTACTATACCTACCACTCCTTCTTCCTTGATAAGAAGTAGATCCATCTGGAACAGTGAGCTGCTTCTTCCCTTCTATCCCGTACTAGCCTACTCAGCTCTCTCCAAACCGTGAACAACTACTCCCGGTGCTAGAACTTTAACCGCATAATTATAACAGCACAATTCTTTCGCTTGAATCTCAGTCTGCTGTAAGACTGCTGTACCGGTAGAGTTTTTACTTGTATGATTCAGCAATCTGCTCTTTAGATGGTACCGTTACCTCCCGCCATAAGACTGTGCCGTCTTGGTGACCTTGAGAATATCATAAGGTCCGATATATAAAAGCACTATCCAATATCGAGACCCACTCAGGATCCCAAACCACGACTCCTTTCGGTCGTCTGTACTTGCTTTTTTCCTCCCAGCATGGACTAAGTCAATGATACTGTCTTACATCGCTGGCCTTGTTCTTATAAGTGTTCACTCGGCGCTCACAAGATAACATGTTCAGAGATCTGTTGCAGAACCTTGTCGTGCCGTCATTTATATACTCCTTGACTAAGAGCTACTTTAAACCTACAGCAAAAATGTGCTAAATGATACCCATCCTCTCCTCACATTACTGTACTTGCACTTACCATCCTCATCTTCGCCATAGAGGTGGTTAAGAGGGTGACGTACACAGCATCTAGCACGAATCCAATAAGTGAGTCTACAGTGCGTGTCGAAATACATTGCATGTACCCTTATATATTAATTGAGACAGAATTTTAATGAATCAACAAATTCTTAAAATTTAAAAAGGTAGAATTTAATTCTATGGCATTTATTGAAACCTGCTTTTTTAAAGTTGAGAATTGGTTTCAATTTCTAGAATATCACGATAATGTTGACTCAAAACTGTTTCAGGCAGCTATCAAGTCTCAAGATATGACATAATTTGATAGAATGTTAGTACCAACGCTATCAGTGCATTGAAGTCGAGTTCTCGATGCAGGTATTATAATTAGGTTCTATCGACCGTTTTTGTAGTCTTAACTCATTTTTATTTGTTATTATACGACCAATTAAAACCTAGCAAACCAGACTTCTTTATGTGCTAAATGTTACTTTAACCTTAATAATAGCAGCATTGTGGCAGATATCCAGTTACATTTTTTCCAGCCGTATATTATAAATATACAGGGTGGGCCAAAAGTCAGTGTGCAAACGTTGGCATTAATAGCTCAGTCACTGAGTGCCCAATTGAAATAATTGGTTCTGGTATGACTTACTACCACCACTGGTTCGAGAAATTTGTCAAATCGAAACATATTTGTGTTCATTGTTTTCAAAAGAAGGTTCATTTTCGCATTTATTTGATAGTTTGGATAATCGGATCGAGCCAAATTTTATTGAATTGTGTTTAGCCATTTAAATTACGTTTGCTCTAAAAAAATGAGAGTATATATATATTACTCATGCAACTAAGATAAATTGAGTATAAATACTCAATTTATCTTAGTTTAAGTTGCAAGTTATATAACTCATTTTCTAAAGGTCTCGTAAACTTTAATCAATTACAGAGAGTGTGGCCTCTTTTTCACTGAAAAGACGCCATCAGATTTCATTGCATTCTGGGACCAATTTTGGTGTGATTTAAAGTATCCTACAAATTGGTGTTTACTGTTTCGACTTTTGTAAAATCACTGTAACAATATAATCTGTATTCTTATAGTTTCAACCATAATAGTGAAATTGAGGGGCTGGCCAATAGCCACACCCTCTGTAATTGATTTAAGTCTACGAAACTTTCAGAAATTTGTGTGTAATTCGGAGATAAATTAAACAAGTTGTTATCGGCCACCATGTGTAAACGGAATGTTCTAGCAGACTGTATAATACTATAACATACATTTTCTTACACACACATAATCTAATCTCTGGAATGTTGCTATGATATCAATGGCAATGTTTTGATACTGTGTATTATCATGATTATGCCTTACAGGCCGATCTTCCGATGGAGTTTCGGTTGCCATGGCAACACATCAATATGATAAAGAATTTGTAAACGCAGTCACAACTCTGTCGTGTACACTGTACGGTGCGAGCGGTTATTTTATGATAGGTAACATCTACTTTTTCAGCATTTGCGGGATGACCAGTTCACACGTATATTTTCGCAGACACAACTTCGCATACAATTATATCCAATTATTCTATAACCAATTATCTACACGGACTTCTGTCTAAATATGAATGAAATCGAGAAAACCAAATATTATATGTTTCATCCTGAAGTGCTGAGTTCTCAGGCAGTAAAATCATGATCCTGATAGATATCGAAGTCTCCTTAAATGATTGTCTCTGCTGCTTAATATATCTGGATTGTCGTTGGGAGGCGATGCAGATTTGTTTACTTTTAAGGGGGAGGTTCTGCTCAGCAGGAGAAAGAGGTGATGCACATTTTGTATTTGTCTGACATGTAGGACTTGAGCCACGTTTCCGTAAGTGCAATAAACGGTAACGAGTGGTTTTTGGATTTCTCCTGAATAAGAGCTGAGATTTTTGGCACTTCCCATATACTCGCACTTGATGCACTAGGATTCATGGACTGGACATTTAAGACGAGGCATGAGGAATAACGGGCACGTGCAGTGTATCCTCTGAGGCGGTAGGAACTGCTGGTAGTGGTATAGTGGGTAGTATATATATATTACTCATGCAACTAAGATAAATTGAGTATAAATACTCAATTTATCTTAGTTTAAGTTGCAAATTATATAACTCATTTTCTAAAGGTCTCTTAAACTTTAATCAATTACAGAGAGTGTGGCCTCTTTTTCACTGAAAAGACGCCATCAGATTTCATTGCATTCTGGGACCAATTTTGGTGTGATTTAAAGTATCCTACAAATTGGTGTTTACTGTTTCGACTTTTGTAAAATCACTGTAACAATATAATCTGTATTCTTATAGTTTCAACCATAATAGTGAAATAGAGGGGCTGGCCAATAGCCACACCCTCTGTAATTGATTTAAGTCTACGAAACTTTCAGAAATTTGTGTGTAATTCGGAGATAAATTAAACAAGTTGTTATCGGCCACCATGTGTAAACGGAATGTTCTAGCAGACTGTATAATACTATAACATACATTTTCTTACACACACATAATCTAATCTCTGGAATGTTGCTATGATATCAATGGCAATGTTTTGATACTGTGTATTATCATGATTATGCCTTACAGGCCGATCTTCCGATGGAGTTTCGGTTGCCATGGCAACACATCAATATGATAAAGAATTTGTAAACGCAGTCACAACTCTGTCGTGTACACTGTACGGTGCGAGCGGTTATTTTATGATAGGTAACATCTACTTTTTCAGCATTTGCGGGATGACCAGTTCACACGTATATTTTCGCAGACACAACTTCGCATACAATTATATCCAATTATTCTATAACCAATTATCTACACGGACTTCTGTCTAAATATGAATGAAATCGAGAAAACCAAATATTATATGTTTCATCCTGAAGTGCTGAGTTCTCAGGCAGTATAATCATGATCCTGATAGATATCGAAGTCTCCTTAAATGATTGTCTCTGCTGCTTAATATATCTGGATTGTCGTTGGGAGGCGATGCAGATTTGTTTACTTTTAAGGGGGAGGTTCTGCTCAGCAGGAGAAAGAGGTGATGCACATTTTGTATTTGTCTGACATGTAGGACTTGAGCCACGTTTCCGTAAGTGCAATAAACGGTAACGAGTGGTTTTTGGATTTCTCCTGAATAAGAGCTGAGATTTTTGGCACTTCCCATATACTCGCACTTGATGCACTAGGATTCATGGACTGGACATTTAAGACGAGGCATGAGGAATAACGGGCACGTGCAGTGTATCCTCTGAGGCGGTAGGAACTGCTGGTAGTGGTATAGTGGGAGCGCTGTTCCTGGCTGAAGAGGTGGATGTGGTCTGGGGTAGTGGTAGGGCATTTGAGTTTGAGGGAGGCTGGACCGGTGGTCGACTATTTCTGATAGGAGTCCGATCCTGGTTTGCATCGTTTCCAACAGTCTCCGTAACTATAACAATCCTGTGATCTGGTATTGGTTACTTAAACTTATTTAATTGAACATGGTGTTTGACGTTGGAGCTTATCACTTTACAGTTTACATCACCTTACCTGAATAATTGAATAGGATGAATACTGAATAGCATTTATTAATGCTTTCTTTACCCGGAGAACTCTGTTTTACTTGTCCCTCGGTAACACAAGACCGTGAGCCGTGACACTTAGTCACAATAATTAAGTCATAAGTCAGAAAGAAGTCCATAATTCGTACACCCATGATTATGTTAAATATAGATTGACTCCAGTCTCCATTGTTCAATGACTTCGTCAAAATGTTTTAGGAAAATGTTCACAGATTTGTTAATTTTGGACTCAAATTAACGTTGAGAAAAACTGAATTTATTTTGAAAAATCCCGGCTAAAACCAAAATCCCGGCCGGTACCGGTACAAAATCGCCAAATACCAGCCGGTATTCCGGCTGCGCCGGTTATATCCCGGTCGAGTTCTGTCTGAGACCTAATTTTCTCTATTTCTCGTGCAATTTTAGATCAGACACAGTCATCTAAATTATTTAATAAGAAGGTTTAAATTATAAGCAATTAAAAACAGTTGGGACTATCATTGTTTGTGAGTACATATTATACGAATATAAGGTGGTTAATATAATTATAACACATTTAATATAAAACATTTAAGACACATTTTTTTATTCCTGCATTGTACTCATTAATTTAACTAGTAATATTATATAAAAACCACATTTCTATTTGTACAGGGAGCTGCTGGTAAACTACCGTCGCTATACATCGACTATGACTACAATCCTACTTTTAAAAACAAACTACATACATATCTCACATTTGCGAGGACTACTTCATCACAAGCAAAAAATCGACATTGGTAAATAAAGGTAGGTTCTTTTCACTGACTTCGTTAAATGAGTTACATATTTTCACACAAATTACGTGCGTGATCATTAAAGGGTTGCTTGTGTGCAGTTACTTCTGGGCCAGCGCCACCCTGTTGGGAGTTTTCACATAAGTAAATTTGCCGATAATACAATTTTACTCATTCTGGACGTGTTACCTATATTATCATTATACTAGTATTTCTTCAGGTCTGTCTTCTATAACCACGATGAAAAGAAAAGCTGGGCGAAAACATTTGAGACTGCAGATTGCAGAACTGGAACACTCTATTTGAAGACAGTGGCTGCTGAGTGCTGAGCTGCATCAAATCTATCAGCATCATGTAACTTCGATCAGGAACAGACTCCATTTCATTTCCGACAACTAGCACCTGTTTTCCCTAGACTTACCAAGTATTAAGTAACTGCATTAGTATTAGGTTAAATTAAAGGCCCTACATCGAACAAGTCTAACAATTAAAACTTAAATGCAAGAGTGCACAATTTATCACTAAATATCTTCCTCTTTTAATTCTAATCAACACACGGTTTCGTCTTTGTTTCACCCAATCGTGCTGATAATCAGTAATCATGCACTCTGCACTCTAACTTCGAGATGTTTCAAAAGGGCTCCCGACGAGTTGAATTAGATCAATATTTTCTTTTGATACATAGATACTGATTGGGAGGTTCATCATACTATTCTTGTCACATGGTAACGATTAACGATTAGCTGATCAGCTTCCAGCATCGACAGGCCGAAATCCATAAATATAATCAGTTGTAATTTAATATTTATCATCGTCCGGATCATCATAATATTTTAATTTAAAGTTACAATTGAACGGTGTTAAGAAAGATAATTTAAGAGAAATGTTTTGAAAGTGCCTGATTTCGAGTATAAGATCTGTACTGATACATTAATTTTCAGATTGTTATTATAGTTTATTTGTATTTTTTATATTATCTTATCCGCACAAGTTCGGAAGCCATCTGAACGCTATTGCCAGACACAGGCATATATTTATTTTGGGGTATCATGCTCTCAGAAATTTCAACTCAGTCCGATATTATAGTTATACTAACCTGCATTGCATAAGGTTAATTGTCTCGCAGTCTAGTGCATAAACCTTTTATTTTGTATAAACCCTTTATTTTGATTGGGAAAACTTTAGTTTAATGTGGTTACCGTCTCTAAAGTTGGCATGATAGTTAATAAACTCTTATCTATTATGTCACTGAAGATGACGCCTTGCAACATGTTTGACGATAGCCTGTAGATTGATAGTTTGATCTAAGTATTTACAACAATTCATCTAGTTTGATTGATTCAAAGGGAAACAAATTCCTCTCTTATCTATTATGACTATATTTAAATTCAATCCTGTAAAGTGATACTCCTTTTTTAGTAATTTAAACATGTGTTTTCTCCTTCTGATTTTTAAACTATTACCGGTCACGCTGAATAATAATGACATCAGTGAATTTAAAGCTATCGTTAACATCACTCAGAAAATGCGCGTCTTTAGCGCGTGTCTTGTTGTTATGCATCAATCCTTCGGTAGATCGGCGAGATGCACCACTGTGCCTCACCGAGCTGCGAAGGATTGACATCGTGAATCAAGCCGGAGCTTAATTTCCTGCCCACCGCTTGGTATTGGGGAACGTCTTGGCTTTGCATCTTCAACTGCTCCAGTAATCAATCCACCGTGGACCATGAAATAGTGGCACAGTTTACTCACTTCATGGGCAAGAAAAGTGAAAATCACGGTCCACCCTGAAATCTGATTTCTATAACCAAATTGTGATTTTTATAACGAAATTATGATAGCAACCGCCAATAAAGTTACAGCCCTCCATCCACTGCTTCAAAAGTCTTCTCTAGCACATTTGAGACTTTAGGTAAAATATGATGATCACCACCCCCTTGGAACCCCATAATCTGAGTCGGCGGGTTTTTTATGACTGGTAAACAGGTAAAATGTTTGACCGGGAAAATATGGCGGAATCTTCCAAAACCCACCACTTTATCCCGGTTATAATAATCCCGAGTAAGGTAGGTTATATTTACTGGGCCGCGCTCAGCCTGTTATTCCGCCTAATCTCTTGTTTATCAACATTAAAGCCTGGGGTCCTCAGGTAAGGTTATATCTGACTGCTATTGCGTTTGAGAAGAAAGCGGCGCGCGCTACTTCGAAGAAATTTAGACGAGTAACAACCGTCAACAGTTACACTCACAAAATTCATATCGTGGAATAACATTCCAAAAACTGTGTTATTGGTATTATGTACATGATTGCTTCGTCGCCAAAAATTGTAATTCTTCACTGTACTAAAGTTTCTACTTTATTCGGCTTGTAACTTGGTCATCTATTGTTAATCAAATAATCATTTGGAGAGCCTCTTGTACGAATTAATTTAACCTGATCAACACTCCAAACCTGATCAACAATCCTAGATCATAAAAGGTCGGGGAGTGTTTGATGGGCGAGGGTCCGAATTGCATCTTGTTGTGCTGTGAAATTTTGGAATTTTATTTTTAGTTGACAATTTTTAAATTACAAAGCGTTATATTTTCTGCCCTGGTTTTTGAACTTTCTGCCGTTTTTATTTATTAATTTATTGACTGTAGTTAACTTTTATGTGTTTATCCTTATAGTTAGACGATTACCATTGCTGAACTTATTTGTGTATAATGTTCGATTTTATTAATTTAAAGGTTCAGTAAAAAAAACCTTAGCCGCGAATTGCGCCCGTTCTTTCGTGGTGGCAGACGCTAGATTTCTACCTACTGCAAGCTCTGATTAGTTCACTTCATAATATTATCAACCAATTGCAATTGTAACACTTGATTTTATTGTGCTCTGCCAATTGCAAAAAAAAAGAAAAAAAAGGGGGGACCCCCAACCCATGTAGCTGAGACACCTCACAGCAAGTAGACCAAACTCCAAAGTGGCTCTTGCTTGTGAAGGGTGTATCAACTACCTGCCGAGGCGGTGGGTTGGGAGTCCCCCCTGCGATCATTTTGTCCGTAAAATTTTACACATTATAAAAGCTACAATAAATTATCTATAAAATTTACATAAACAAACTTAAGAGAGCTCAAAGCTCGTCTTCTGAGGAATGAGATAGAAGGATACGTCATCCAGTCCAAGGTGCTGGGCTTTTTGTCTTCCTCTGATTCCCCTGAGTGCTATGAGTGTGCTTCGTAGCAGATCAAACCTGAATCGTGTTCTGATGTGATTTTTGACCTGGCATAGCTTCTTTATTGTGGTCAGCTATCCTTTCAGAAATACGATATACAAACACAGTGCAGAGTGGGCCCATACCTCCGGATGTTGTAAAGACTAGTGGGACAAAGGACCCTTTCTCTGACTGAAGTACTCTCTCCTCATAGAGATCTTTCTTCTCTTTCTCATGCGCACTGTAGATTTTATCTAGTGGCTTAAATGTATTGGAGTCGCAATTAGGATGAGTGACCCTGATGTCAAAGAATGTTCTTTCGAATGGTGCATACAGTCCAACAGCTGCTACGTCCAGACGGGCTTCATCCTGGGTGTTGGTCTTCAATTGCATCACTTGATTTAGTTTAACGTAAATATTGTTTTAATCTCTTTTCTAATATCATCATGCTTAAGATCCGAGAAACCACTTTATGATGAATTGCCATAAAATTAAGAACATTGATTTGATTCGATTAATTAACTAACGCTCATCTATTTTCATACACAACTTGTACAATGACATGTATTGCATACATACACAAGGCATTGTTGCGAGTTTGAACATGCGCCGCTGAACGTTCTTGTAAAATGTATTCTTGTAAAATATTTTGGTGTGTACTGTGTCATGCGCTTATTGTTGCGAGTCTGTATGCTCCATTGAGCAGTTCTAATATCATACGTCATGTATTGCTAGTTCCCATATATTGCTAGTTCATTTAGAACTTGTTGTCATGTTGGTAATGTGTTGAAATGACATAACCTATTTACTGCTTAGTTGTGGAAAATTTATAATTATATAAAGCGTTTTATTAAGTTGTAAAGTTACTAATACAGCCCTATTTAAAGATTTTACGACCAAATACATTTTTTAGTTTTACTTTCTGTACTATACATGAGACAAGAGAAACGTTATTTTAGTATGCTTAACTATGCACAAATTGTTTTGTGTTTACCAAATATGCCGCGCACCTACTACTGAATAAACCACAATTCTCCCTCATGCCATCGGCATGATAAATTCAGTAAAGTGTGACTAACGGAAAGAATGAGGACATTTTTAAACCCACCTACCAGATCTCCAAAGGCCCTCTTTCTGTACCAACAACCATTCGTAAACGTCCATTTTCTCTACTACTACTGAATAAACCACAATTCTCCCTCATGCCATCGGCATGATAAATTCAGTAAAGTGTGACTAACGGAAAGAATGAGGACATTTTTAAACCCACCTACCAGATCTCCAAAGGCCCTCTTTCTGCACCAACAACCATTCGTAAACGTCCATTTTCTCTTTTTACAAAAAGATGGATGGAAAAATTACTAAAGAATCGGTATAACAGTGGCAAACTTAACATAATTGAAATACAAAGTTTTTCAAACATGAAGTCAAATCCTCGGCCAAATCATTAGCGGTTTTGGTGTTTGTCCCCTTAATGTAGCTCTGGCTAAATGATGAAACACAACTTTGTTCTGGTTTAAACAAACTCATCAAAATCTTTTACAGCATTGCCATGTAAATAAGAAGAGCTTGATAATGTCAGTGTTACAAAAAAACAGAGATGTCCTTCTCAAGGAGATCAGAGTGGCGAAAGTGTTGCCGGTGCTGCGAAAACATCTCCCGGAGCACCTGATTGGTGAGATCGAAAATCAGCTCACTATCAGAAGGTTTGTTTATAATAATCACACAAGACGTGGTCTATTCATTTTTGCACAAAATAACTGAAACTTTTTAAGTTACAGACATTTTAAGCTATAAATTTTCGTCTGGGAAGGATAGTGATGAACATTTTGGGAGTTAGGGGTAACGACTAAAGAGAAGACTTGGTGGCTGCATTTTTTAACTGGCTAGGAATCAAATTTGTTCACCCAAATTTGGCTATTTTTAGTTTACATGCTATATCTTTTAAAATGAGATCTTTAATTCAGGGCACAGTGTGCTCTTCTATGTTAACATGATGTCATGCTTCAGGAAGAACGAAAAGATGTTAGATATTTTGAGGAAGCGAGATGACGGAACAAACCTTCTCAAGATGGCCCTGGAATTCTCTTATCCCAATCTCATGCACATATTTGACGGTATGTTATTTAAATTTCCTCATTTTCAGTGCTATTTATTTCTGTGTAGGTCACGTGTTCATCTTTACTTAGTAATGAGCACTGAGCAGTGAGCTCGAGTGTATTAAACCTTAGTTACGACTATATAAAGCAGATCACTTGAGGGTCCTCCTGAGAACCAAGATCGAATTATCATTTATTTGGTTCACTGAATCACTATCTCTATGAGCTAAAATAAATCAATTGTACTGTGGCATTGTATCAAGTCTGCTTCTTTTATGTCAATTGAATCTTAATCTGAGGACCATAATGATGTAAAATTGAATAGATCTTCTCGAATGATAACAATCACACAAGTTTACTACTCCTCAAACTGTCGTTAAGGAAATAGGATTTGAAATCGGATATATTTTAATATACTTACTACATGTGACAATGTGTTCATTATAATCTATACTAATAATCTCAAATGTGTGTGTGTGTTCGTTCGTGTGTAATTTCCGAGCGGCTTAATCAAGAAAACGGTAAGAGTTAAGTTATGGAACTGCTTTTTTTCGGTATAGTTTCGACAAAACTCTGACGAAGCCAAATAATTATTAATCGGCCGGTCGCGGTGGTAAGTGGTTTAATTTATATTTTTGTGACCCAAATCACAAATGTGATAATAAAGTGTCGTATGTACTCTTCCTCTCTCCCACTCTCGCTCTCTCCCCCCCCCCCCCCCCCCTAACAGATTTGCTATATAATTAGGTAATTTGGCAGCGTACCTCAAGATTGCCTATCAAGTATAGCTATTACTATTAGATACATAAGGGGCACTCATAATTAAATTGCTGTCTGTTTGGACTAAGCGAGTTCATACTTTCGCACCATTTTAACTACGAAAATGGTATGCGTGTTTTCGAATATTATAATACTAATAGGCGGGTTTATACTTTTGCATTTCAACTGCGATAGTGAAGTCCCGGCCGTAGGCAACGGGTTACACTAGAAACTTAATAACTTTAGACCGGTACACACTCGACATTCGATACAATAATTAGATCGGGATATCATATCTCTAAATAATGAGAATTCTGGGACCCAAAAGTCTGATAATTTAAAGATATGATCTAAATAATCAGGTACATTTCTCGATTAACGTTTCCTGGCTACTATACGTTTCCTGGCTACTATACAGATTATCACAATTCATCAAGAATCACGAGACTAAAATCGGATTTATGTTTGTGTCACAAATAATGCAGATCACTGATTTGTGCACCTTGAGGGTCCTCCTGAGAATTAAGATCGAGTTATCATTTATTGGGTTCACTGAATCACTATCTCTATGAGCTCTAAGTAAATCAATTCTACAGTGGCATTGTATCAAGTATGCTTCTTTTATGTCAATTGAGTCTTATTCTGAGGACCATAATGATGTAAAATTGAATAGATCTTCTCGAATGATAACAATCACACAAGTTTACTACTCTTCAAACTGTCGTTTAGGAATAAGGATTCCTAAAAATAGGATTCCTAGAAATAGGTTTTGCAATCGGATATATATATACAGGGGGGGGGGGGGGGGGGGGGCAAAGTCAGTGTGCAGATGTTGGGTCTTATACGTCCGTCGTGTTTTATATTTAAGAGTTGTTGCTTTGCAGATGGCATACTGTACCTACTTGTTCGAGGATTCCGTCGCCAAAATTTGAAAATTCGAATATTTTAGACCACGCCCACTCAATATTAAAACACCTACATTGATCTCTCTGAACATGCTAGATGCCTTTTTTAGAGACGGTACATTATTAAATGTTGTATCTGATCTGAAAAAATGAAGCAAAACGGATTAGAAATGACGAAGTTATCAAGCATTTTGTGTATCTCGTTAAATAAATAAATAAATAAATTCTAACATTTATTACACGCTTCGACATAAAAATATACCCAACAAAGATGTACATTTAAGTCATTCAAGCGAGACTTAGTGTTGAAAATCCGAGATTATGGATTTTTTTATCAGTTCAGATTTTATGAATAAATATTTGTTTGAAGTTACCAAAATTATGCACTTTCATATCAGTTCAGACAGTTCATTATGGACAAATATTAGAAATATTATCAAAAGCTAGGTGGAAATAAAACTTCTTTAGGGCATTTTTAAAACATTCTACAGATGATAATGATCTCACTGAGTAGGGTAGTTCATTCCAAATTTTTGGTCCACAAAACATAAATGCAGCATCCGTTCGTCTGAAATGAGGAGCAGGAGGAACTTTCAACAAATAAAAGTCATCATCTAGTCTAGAACTTCGTCTTCGTACTTCCCTTAGATTGATGTGTCCTTGTAAGTACTGAGGGGCTATGTTATTAAAACACTTGAAGACCAGAAGTGATATTTTGAACTTGATTCTGAACCGAACAGGTAGAAAGTGGAGCTTTTTGAGGTAAGGCATGATAGGTTCACGTATCTTTTTTCCGTAAAGACCAAAGATAAATCTAGCAGCATTGTTATGTATCTTTTGTAGCTTATGGAGATTCTTTTCTGTTATACCATAATAGACTGAGTTGCAGTAGTCTATGAAACAGAGAATATTGGAGTGAACTAACTGAACTTTTAGGTCATGGGAAAGCTTCGAACCGATTCTTGATAAGTCCCTTTGATTCAAATAACATACTTTGGAGACAGCATTAACAAAATTGACTGGGTGATTATGTGACACCGTGACACGACACCTTAATTGGGCACCCTTAACAATTCCCATAATGTTTATTGTTAAACAGTTTAACGGGGTCACCTAATCACGTGATTAGGCAAACCAATAACCTCGTTATGCTTCATATCTCGATCATCTGAGAAGCTAGAACTCTCATTTTTTCAAAACAAACGTAATTGAAATGGCCAAACACAATTCAATAAAATTTGACTCGATCCGACTATCCAAACTATCAAATAAATGCGAAAATGAACCTTCATTTGAAAAAAAAGGAACACGAATATTTTTCGATTTGACAAATTCCTTGAACCAGTGGTGGTAGTAAGTCATACCAGAAAGAATAATTTCAATTGGGCACTCAGTGACTGAGCTATTAAGCTATACGTTTGCACACTGATTTTTGCCCCCCCCCCCCCCCCCCTGTACTTACTACAGGTGACAATGTATTCATCTAATCAAGGATCGACTGGGACCGCTTATTATGATTCATAATAACTTAATAACTTTAGATCGGTAAATACTCAACATTTGATACAATAATTAGATCGGTATAATTAGATCGGTATATCATAATATCTCTAAATAATCAGAATTCTGGGACCCAAAAGTTTGATTATTTAGAGATAATCTCTAAATAATCAAGTACATTTTCTCGATTTACGTTTCCTGGCTACAGATTTTCACAATTTATCAAGAATCACGAGACGAAAATCGGATATATGTTTGTGTCACAAATGTAATGATGCAATCATATCCGGTGTCATTAGGATTATGACATTGTGTGTGCACACTGCACACTTGCAGTGTAGTGACTATTGTCATGTTTACTGTAGGTGTAGGGATTAGCTGAATATGTTTTATGCGATGATAAATTTGTCCTATTTCAAATTTATGTGAACAGCAAATAGTTATAGTCACGTGATCAATGATAAATTTCGTTTGCTTTTCTCTGAAAGACTTCAAAATGCAAATTTTTGTCGAAGTTCTTAACCACCCTACGCGCGTGGGGTGGACTCCTGGGGTGGACTTTTATTCAGCGCGTATTTTGTAGCCTGTTCAACTTGACGTTTTGAATCGTTACTATCTCAATGTCACAGATACACAGAATGTGAGGTGATCATCTTAAAGAGAAACGTCTCAGCTTTCACCTGGTGTAAAGTTTATCTTTGTTCTCAAAATATAGCTCGCTCAGTGTGCAACAGAAGTTGACATTACAATAACCACGTCCGCGACCGGTCGTCAGATACCGGAGTCTTGCACAAAATTGGGTCCCTAAATTAAAATTTTATGACACAGTTACGATGAACTAGTGTCTAGGGAAACATTTGGTGAAAATTTGAAGGGTCTACTGTTAATATTGCAAAAGTTATTGAAAACAAACTAGCTTAATCAGAAGTTTTTGGGAAAATTTCAAATTTTGTACGTAGTGGGGTGGACTCTCGTGACGCGCATCTGATGGCGTGGCTTTTTCAACAGCAGTCAGTACGGCCAATATCAGAGCACAAATTATTGTGAGTAAGACCTTAATGGTCAGCTATGAACCCCTCACTAGAATAGTAACCGTATCTAAAAACAAGGAAATGTTATTCTGTCAAAGCTCAAATTTTTTACTCTTCTCAGTGCAGTTACTATGAATGTACTAGCTAAGTATCGTTGATCGTAGCTGCATTACACAGTAGAAGGTAACCAATACAAGGAACAATATACAAGGAAGACTGCTGATTAACGAAGCAATTTCAACGTGAACAGTTCCAAAATACATAATCATGGCGACGATAGTTCAACTTGAACCTTTATAGTTTTTACAGTCTAAGATCACAATAAAATCACGTGAACTGCGAATCACAAAATCAAATCACTCAAATCTGATACAGTCCCGTTACAGTACGCTTTCGTGACAACCTCAACGCTTAAAAAATAAATATTCTGCAGTCTTGTGACCACCGATGGCCCTAACTCTCCCTTGTCCGCGAGGAGCATCGTTGCGACCATGGGTTTCAGTTCTTTGTTCTTCCCACTCGGCTTCGATAAATCGAATTGGCTGGAAGTCAATCTATCAGAAAGACCTTTGTCGATCTCAGGGGCGTGGTAAATTGTGGATGTCGGAGTATAAAGCTTCCTGAAAAGATTGAGACATTCACTCGGTCTGTTGTAAATATCGAATAGTCCTTGTAGGCAGAGATTTAATTTATGTTGGGTTTGATAACTAGAAAAGGCGATTTGATATTCATTGATAGTATAAGAGTATAAGCATATAAGCATAAGTGATAAGTTTATATACCCTTTTTATGGTACCTCGATATCAGTATTGAGTAATCATCA